TGTCCAGGCAACGTCCAGTTTTATTACCGCTGTATGTTGGTGATTAATTCCTTGTTGTGGTCGCCTGTTTGTTGGACAGAATGGCATTTATAAATGACCCGTTCTTGAGTACTAGCGTGAAACCCTTTGATGCCCGTTCATTTGTAGCAGCTGACGAGACGAAACTTGCTGGTTTAAAGACCCGCCAGGTGCCGTGTTACCGGTAGATTACCACAGGTTTCTAGTTATTTTAGTTCATTCCAGCACTGCTTATGTGAGAATATAATATTTGTATTTGCTTTGTAAAATATTTTATGTTAGTCTATTTATATAATTAAGAAGTGTTTCAGTATTTTTAAATAATTAAAAAAAAAAAAATCCAGAAATACAAAGTTATGTTGTTCTTAGCGGTGATACATCTATTAGCAGTATGTTATCAGTATTTCTGAGTTGAATAGCAACTATAGACCTTGGGCCAACATTAACTAGCGTTTATTAACTGAGGGTATTAAAAGTGAGTGTCGTAGCATTTCTTCTTGTTTTTCTCCTCATTCTCTTTCTTCTTCTTCTTTCTCCTCCCCCTCCTCCTTCTTCTTCTTCTTTATTGGTCTTGAAAAGGCGTCGGCACGCTGTGTTGTGGTTTACAGCTAGGCTGCCATAACTGCGCCTTTTTACTCGATTTCACACCCTCCTAGTGCGACATGAAATAAAGGTAGGTAGGTGGTTTGTGCCTTCCAGGATTGCAATATGTAGGATTACCACCACGAGGATGCGAATCAGACACGTACAAATTCCGGAAATTACGTTCAACTGTGTAACGGTTATATTGGGGACGCGATGGTAACATGTTTGTGGTCGACTGAAGTCCGGACTGGGCAGGGAGATGATCGAAAAGTGAGGAGAAATAACTAATGCGTTTCAAATCTCATACACTCAGAGATATAGTGCGTATTAAAACTCACAATTTAACAAATACTTTGAAAACTCATGTACGGATCAACACGAATTTTTGCATATGGTCTTAAATTTTCCGTTGTGATTCTGTATTTTACAATTGCGCCGATGCTACTGCTTTCTTCAAGTGGCACATTTTTTTAACCTTGTTTGACCTATAATTTCTCTACCCCTACAAATAGAATATACAGAAATTAACACAAGTGTGGAGATTGGAAACCAGTTCACATGTGCCACTATGTGTGGTGCTTGTTTTGATACCATATACATCCTACTCAGTGAACAATCCGCAACTCACGGGAGAAAAATGCTGCCACCTGAGAGGGATGCCTTATGTTTAGACATGTTCCCCTTACTCAGTTTGCTCAAGTGACTGTAAACACGGGGAGTCGCTGTGGTGTAGCGGCTAGACGCTCGCGTGCGGATCGGAAGGTCGTGGTTTTGCTCCCTGGCGGAGCCGGACTTTTTTCAAAAATGACCTTGACTCCCAGGTCGACCCAGCCTTGAGTGGGTACCGGGTGCAGTCCTGGAAAGTAAAGGCGACCGGCGTGATGCTGACCACATTTTGTGCCGATTGGTTTATAAAAATATAGGTCTAGCCCCATATGCCCTCAAACGCCTAAAGGCATAGAAAAAGGGACTTTTTACTGTAAGTATGCTAATTTTTTGTTTTGAAGGAATGTCTTTTTTTTTTAATCTACCGCAAATAAGGTAAAATGAAAACGAAATGTTTGTTTACATTCAAATAAATCTTACAAAAGACATGGTTATTGATAGTCTGTATGCCAAATTTCAACAACTTACACTGAACGGTTACCGAATTACAGATTTTTGAAGTCGTTCAGGATTTCTGGAACAGACTATAATTGAAAGTGTTAAGTGCACGGAAAGTGGTTCTTAATACCACTGAAATGACCTTCCCACTTCCCCCACTAGTTTCGTTGGCTCTGCTGCCTCACAGTGTTGTAGAATGACCTTTGGTCTATATCGCTCGATTTGCCGTCAGATACCGAGGTACTGTAAATTTGTTATTCTGGCTGTCGGTTTGCTGGCTCTATAGCTACCTCAGACACGTTCCTAAACCAGGAAAAGATCACGTGAGAATAAATGGCTGAGAATCATCACACTCCAGAACACTGTAGGAAAACTCATGGGAAAACAAATCGTGACCAGAATGTTGACCAGTCATTGGAGTCAGGTGGTCTATTCCATGCTACACCAGGTGGTGTAGCAATGGAGTACATGCACGTGAGTTTAGACTTCCCTCAGGGTGTATTCGACTTTACCTTTATTTTTGTTCCGGGTCACGCAGGCGTCGCTGGAAATGAAAGAGCTGACAGGTTGGCTGGATCCGCTATCACTACCGACGGTCAGTAAATGGATCATGCTGATATTATCAATGCCCTCCGAGAAATGGGAAGGATAGAGGACTTTGGTGGCAGTGAATCCACATCACTCGCCAGAATGGCAGACTTGGGAATTAAGATCGGCACAGCAAAAAACGAGACGCACACCAGACACGCTAGAAGACTTGTTAATCAGTCTAGAACTGGTACTATTAGCCATCGGACATTGGGGTTCATACTGAGGGGAGGATCTGAGCACCTATGGACATGTCCGGAGTGCAATGAGGATAACCCAACTAACTAACTAACTAACTAACTAACTAACTAACTAACTAACCAACTAACTAACTAACTAACCAGGTGGTTACCAACCTAGGAGGGATAAATGGTGCAGTACTGCAGGATTTGCCTAGGATACATACAAGGTTTTCCAGGAGGGAATAGAAACGGCGGCAGCCTCTATTGACTTAGAACAGTGGTTCTCAACCTTCCCTATGCCACGACCCATTAATACAGCTCCTTATTTCGTTGTTCCTTAATAACTTCAGTGAACACCTGACTTCCGATGATCTTAGGCAACCCCCGTGAAAGGGTCATTTGACCGACACAAGGGTTGCGATTCACAGGCTGAGAACGGCTGACTAAGAAGATGCCTACAACAGCGTCCCATACAACATGTTAATCAGATTGCTGTTGGATATGCACATAGAAACAAAATGGGTCAACTGGATCGCAGCAGCACTATACGAAAGAACAGTGTCACTGTGATGTGGTGCATGAGCATCGTAAGCTCCTCCCGTCCAAATGGGTCTGCCCCAGAGATTACCATTGTCACCCATGCTTATCAGTGTGTACTCAGCAGGAATCACCAGTGCACAAAGTGTAGGCCTGGGCAGAACACTGTTGTATACAGACGATATCCGTGTGTACCGTGGAAGTACTGATAGATCAGCATTCACACCCAGAAAGATATCATCGTCTACACAGACGGATCTGTGAAGCGTGGATCAAGGTCAGCATGGACATACACAGCACAAAGGATTGGGAAAACAATACAAGAGGACGGCAGCACTTACCAGGCAACTGCACTATGTCAAGCATGACCATGGAGATAGGTGTTGCATCTATAACACTAGCATAGGCAGCAGAGCAAACAGCCACAGGTGCAGTAATTGTATCTGACTTCGTGAACATTCTTTAGAAGATAGCTATTGGCGATATGCGCTCTGAATGGGTAGAAAGCATTTGAAAATCGTACTTAACCTTCCTTACCTGGCTCTACATACCTAGTCAAGCTGACTTAAAGGGTTATAAGCAAATGAACCACCTGGCAAGTAGTGCACCAACTAATATGGAAAGAAGCATGGACAGAGCAGATATTATCATTGTTGTACAAACTGGGCTAGTGGACAATGAAGAATCTCTGACACAAACATGATTGCGTGACAGGAAAGTAAAGCATTATTAAGCAGGTCTATGCTGTTTTCAAGAAGAGACAAATGACATTGCAACCAACCTCTCATGGGCACAATTAAAAGAAGGACCTTGGAGTGGCTGCTTCATCAGAGAATTGAGTACTATGGGAATGCCTAGTGTGCAATGACGTCAATTGTGAGAACCTAACATTTGTCTTTCTATGTATCTATCTCTCTGCCTGTCTGTCTGTCCCGCTCTACCTCCCTCCCTTCCTGTCTATTGATTGGTCAGTCTGTATGTTGGTCGGTCGTTCAGTCAGTCAGACTGTTTGCAACTGATTTCAAACCCCTGTATGTCAGAAATGTAAAAACTGCATTCACAGTTAACCAGCCTCAGATGAGGATTAATTAAAATTGCATATACATAACATTAGCTTTATAGGCTCAACTGAAAATCCCTTGTTATAAAATCTGTTATATTGGTTTGCACTGGTTACTTTAGATCAGAACATTTGATCTTTATGGCCCATTAGTGCAACCTTTCTTGTATTCAAATAAAACATTTACTAGCTGAACTCAAAGGCTTTCAGCATGTTCATGGCTGTTTTGTTTATGAGATTTGATGAAGAGCAAGCATGACACTCACAGAAATCAGAGAAGCTATAAAAGAGCACCTTCCAATGAAGCACCAAGCACTGATCATATACCTGCTGAACTACTTACTCAAAGCAAATGAATAGGTGGGGGTAAAGTGGATGCACAAATTTTTCAACTGCGTTTGGATCATACAAGAGACACCAGAGGACTGTGGAAAGTAATAGAGCCACAACACTTCAGCAATACTGAAAGGTACTATATGCGAAGTGAACAGAAGTGCCCTTTCTAGAGATCTTGTCCTGTGAGGCATCCCAGGAGTTAAGAAAAGAAGATGAATCATCACTGCAGTCAGGACTAGTTCATGAGTGCTTAGTTTTTTCTAGCAGAAGTTCAGTCGAGGGGATGCTGATTTTCAATGTCTGGAGCCTGGCAGCATTCGCCTATCATTTATGATGAATTGATTCTCAGCGCTTTGGACAAGCAGTAAGTGCTAAGTCTCTTTCAGCAGGTCGAAGTGTAAGGATTCTGACTGTCCATGTTTTGAGCCTGAAAGTATTGATTTATAATTTCTAAAAAAGAATGGACATTACTGCACTCAAGATTAGCCATTCAGTGCTTAGTTCTTTCAGTAGAGGGTGAGAATACTGATTGGTCTTGTTGAGAGCTTCATTGTGTACTGAACATCGAATTCTTTTATTATTGTTTCTAGCTGGAAACCTCCCTGAAAAGTGATTCTGGACTGGACACAACCAGCAGTGAGATGGCTTCTCGGAACCTGGCCCAGCAGAACATTGATCTGAGACGCAAGCTGGAGGAAGAACATTCCAGTTACAAGAGGAAACTACAGGCATACCAGGATGGGCAACAAAGGCAGGCACAGCTAGTGCAGAAACTGCAGGCCAAGGTAGAGTTCTTATTGTATGCTGGGGTGTTGCCTTCGTATGCTTGTGTATTCCTTTTTGTTTGACTGTGACCATCTGTCTGTTCACTCTGGTTAGCTGAGAATACATCTTCCCACGTTCCTGCCTATTTAAATATATACTTTTATAAATAGCTGATCGTCCGTGTGTGTTTGTCTGCCAGTATTCCTAAATTTTGGCTGTCTGACTGTCTTCTTTTAATATTATCTTTCCCTCAGTCTACCTCCCTGTGTGACTGTCACTGCCTTTCCATCTTTCCTTCTTTTAATTCATCAATCTATTTGTCTGTCCATCTCATGCATCCATCTACATCACCTACCTCCCTACACAGCTCCCTACTTATCTCTTTACCTCAAGTTTAGATCATTTAAAAATAAAGTTATTCATTCTTTCTTTTAACATTTATCAACCTGCTTAATTACCTGTCTGCCTGTTCACAAATTCATCTGCCTAACTGCCTGTCTACCTATATAACTTCTTCTTTTCATAGTCCATGCTGTCTGGTACTGGTAGTAATGTCTACCCACAGCCTTCTGTCTCAGGTACTTTCAGTCACTTCTGACACATATGACCTTCTATGCCTTGATGTCAGCCTGTCCAACATCTTCTTTCTTGATCACTCTGCCTTCCCCCCCCCCCCCCCCCCTTTTAGCTCTCCCCACCATCACAATGTACTCCAGTTTTCTCTTTTTTATGACGTGACCAAAGAATTGATTTTCTCCTTCTGATATGGGCAGTCATTTCTCTTTATAAGTCATTTTCTTTCAAGACATCTTCATTACTCTTTTTTTTTAATCTGTCCAGAGTATTTTCATTGTTTACCTGTTAACTACTTACTGAAATATCTATCTGTCCATTCATCTTCCAACCTACCTGTCTTCATAGCTACTAACCTACATACTACCTGTTCCTATACCTACCTACATAGAGACCTGTCCCTGCATCCTGCTATGTATCTGCCCTCAGCTACTGCAGTACAAGAAAAAATGCCAGGATCTTGAAGATGCTGTTCGCACCAAAGATACAGAAATTACCAGGGTCTATAGCAACAAGGTAAACCACCATGCCACCTGTTATACTGTTAGTTAAAAAATGAACACTTCCAGTTTGGTCTAGTTCCCCATAAATGACACTTTTCCAACTTACCTACAATTACCTGTAGACCAACTCGACAAGAGGCATAGTTAAAACTGTTAGCTGTTTTTACTCCTGCGCAAATATTTAGGACAGGGCTATTCAAATGGTGGACTACAGGCCAAATCTGGCCCGCGTAGACCTAGCAAGTGGCCCATGTATTATTGCCAGTTGTGTTGTATTAATGATCTTTCTACGCTCGAGCCCCTGGCCCGTGATGATCCGTATATTCAACATTTGGGCCCCTGAATAAGCTTAATTGAATAGCCCTGATTTAGGAGGTCAGGATATAAATATGTTAACTAACAATAGTATTTAGGGCGATTTTTCCTTTAAGCTTAGTAGTTTTTAAAGCCAAGTTAGCATCAGAGTTTTCCACTGCGACTCATTGATAGAGGTCACCTGATAGATATAGGTTTTCCCCATGGAAGATGTATTCCATTTAATGCCCTTTTCATTTTTTTTTATTAATTACTCCTTTAATTTATTGTTAGATATTTTGGGAGGAACATAAAAAAATGTAGATACATACATTTTAAACAAATTCATTAGTGACCTGTGTACATTTTTTCTAAACATATTTTTTTTTCTCTGGAATATCAACGGGGTCTCACCTAGTTTTTTTGTGTGTGTGTGTAAGTGTTTCTTGGGACAAAAAGGTTCAATCTTGTGGTAATTTTTTTATTTTATTTTATACTGGCTTATGTTGTATAAAAATACAAAAATTTGAAGAACGAAGTCATATAGCCTGAATCTAATAGTTGAAGGTACACCAGAAACTAAGCGGTAACTAACACCAGAAAGTAAGCGGTAACTAAAAGTAGCTAGAGAACTGGACCCTTCATTTGTTGGTTTTTGTGTACTGGCCAGAGTTGTGAATAGTACAGATTTGAGAAACAAAGAAATATGTAGCCCAAAACAGTTAGTTCAATAATAGTTCAGTGGAAACTAAGCAGCTACTACAAGTACAGAAAGATCAGGACACTTAGCATTTTTATTTTCTATGCTGGACTGAGTTGTGACAAGTATAAAGTATGAGAGACAAAAACATACAGTATATACCTTGAAGTTACATAGAGATTCTGTTTGACTGGCTGAGGTGAACAAGATAAACTAACAGTTTATGATAGTACTTTGGGTTTTAGTATTGAACTATTGAAAACTAAAAATAAAACAATGCTTAGCTTACTTGGCAATATTTGTAGACACAATTAAACACTATTGTATTAAACGGTCCACTGTTGGCCAGATTTATGAAAGTTGTCTAGCCTAAAGTACAGTTATTCTTTTTTCAAGTCAGTCAATTGTTAATGAACCACATGGTGTTTTCATTTTAGTTCTGAAAAATTGATTTTTTTTTTTCAATGCCAGCTCCATCATACAAAAGATGTATTGATGCTGAAAGAAATTTTTCACTACATGAAATTCATGGCATCTCTCCTTGCATATTGTGATTAGTTCCATTGTTCGCACCCACTTTCTGATATGTTTATTCATATAATGTCAGTATTTTATTCTCTGTAAAGGGATATCCATATGGGTGCCTTTTTACTGAATGTTTGTTTATCAGCCAAAAGCACATTTATACTAATTTATGTGTGTTTCTCACATTTCGATTTTAATTCTGTAAAACTGATATTTGTTAAAGGCTGACCTTGTAGTTGCCAGGATACCCCCCCCCCCCCCCCCCCCCCCCCCCCCCCCCCCCCCCCCCCTGCCTTGCAGAGTATGTCTGTTTAGACAAAGGCTGTTAGAGTCGAACTGTATACAAACTGGCTGAAGGCAAGGGAAACTCAACCGCTGCTTTGTTTTCCCCAGTAAATATTGCCTTTAAACACACACGGATAACATCTGATGGAAGATGTGAATAAGATAGGCTAAAACTGTATTTTGTAAAATGAAGAACATCTGGTGCACTAAATCCATGTTATTGGAGGTAGGAAAAGAATTCTTGCATGCTATATAGAGCCAGATTTAACATGTGGCTTTGAATCCTGGACAATTAATCAACAAGCCAATTTCTTGAGGCCTCAGAGATATGGTTTTTTAGAAGAATCCTTAGAATTCCTTGGACAGTCATAAAGAGCAACCCAGATATTTTGAAAAAAGTGAGGGCTCAAAGACAACTTATCATAAACATCAGAAAGAAACAGTCATCATTGTTTTAGTCATGTTATGAGAAGAAGGAAACTGGAGCATGTTGCGACCACTCACTGGAAAGATCTGTGGAAAAAAAAGAGACAGAGGAAGACAACACGAGATGATTCTTGACTGCCTTGTGTCATGGTATGGCGGGGTGTCAGCACATGAACTGGTGATACATGCTGTTGAAGATCATAGATTGTGGAGAGGCATGATTGCCCATGCCATTCAGCAAAGCAGTTCATGATGATGAAGATGACCTTATAACCAGCAGATTTATTGAAGCTGCCATACATTTTTTCTTCTGTATTTGTAAATTTTCTCCGTCTTGTTCTTCGCATGGGTTCCAGCTTCCCAGTGTTTGAGGGGAAAAGACCTACACCCACTGCTGCTTAAGAAGCATTTTAAAAATAGCAACTAATTAAGGGTTTCCTGAAATCAGATGTGTTGTGTTGAAAGGTGCAGATATCACAACCTGGCTGTAAATTACAATAGAACAGGAGGGCAACCCTTTTAAGGGTGAATGCAAAAGCAGATTTGTATCTTGTTACTTTTAGCATGGATGTCTGATGTCTCATCTAATGATACACTGATGTCTCATCTAATGATACACTGATGTCTCATCTAATGATACACTGGTGGCTGATGTTTCATCTAATGATACACTGATGTCTGATGTTTCATCTAACGATACTCTATCATCTTATAATAAACATATTTCTGATGTCGCATCTAATGATACATTGTTGTATGATGTCTCATCTAATGACATATTGTTATGGGTCATTTAGTGATACTGTTATTATGTCTGATCCAATGATATACTGATGTCTCATGTAAGGATACACTGATTTCTGATGTCTCATTTAATGATACACTGATGTATGATGTCTCATCTAAGGATACACCAATATGTTGTCTCAGCTAATGATACACTGATGTCTGTTGTCTCGTCCAATGATATTCTGATGTGTAATGTCTCATCTAATGATACATTGATGTCTCATCTAAGGATTAATTGATGTCTCATCTAATGATACACTGATGTCTGTTGTCTCATCTTATGATATACTGATGTTTAGTGTCTCATCTAATGATGCATTGTTGTGTGATGTCTCATCTAATGACACATTGTTATGATGTCTCATCTAATGATACTCTGTTTTGATGTTTCATCTAATGATACACTGATGTCTGGTGTCTGCAGAGCACCAGTGAGAGCAGGTACAAGTTTATGGACATGGAATCGGCCAGTGATCTGCAGTCTGTGCTGGAGCAGCTGGAGGAAGAGAGACAGAGGTCAGTCGATGTTTTCTTGATTGTGTTCTCCTTCGCTTTTGTTGGACCTCAGATTGTTGATTTCTGAATATGTTCTTTTAGCTTAAATGTCTTTTGTATTATATCATTTTCTTCATCTTCAGTTCCTCCGGTTACTTCACCTTAGTTACAGATGTCCAGCCGATGAATCAGGCAATCATTGTTAATATCCTTCGTGAAATACGATGATCTGAGGATTTTCATTTGATTTGAACCAACATCACAGCACTCGGGGCATTCCCATAAGCGCTTCATCCCCATCTTCAGCAGCCAGCGAAGAGTTCCGATACTAATGGTGCCGGTAGCATTCTGATTAAAGGTCCGTCTTGCCTTTCCTCTGAGCCTCGAGCATTTGCCAGAACCTCTCATCACCCCCAACTGCATCAATCTCACCAGACTGTGGTGATCCATCTGCTACTCTGAATTGTACACGCTCTTCCACAAGGCACTAACCACGTCTGCCTTATCATGTATCATTATTCCACCAAGTTGTGCAGAGCCAGCCAGTCTGTCCGCCTGTTCTCCGAGGATTTTAGGAGCAGCATACCGACATCACTGCTAAGAATGAGAGAATTTGGAATAAAGATTGGCACAGCCAGGCATGAGAGGCACACAACGTAAAATAATTTTTGTCAACTAGCACAGGACTGGGACTGTTAACTAAAGGACACGGATGTATATGTTGAAGGGAGATCTGAGCACCTATGGGCCTGTCTGAAGTGTCATGAAGATAACCCAGCTAACTCATAACTTCATTGAAGTGTTGGGGGAAGATGTAGGGGCTCTCTATGTGCTCTTTTTCCAATGTACTGCATAAGTTGGTTTCCTTCAGGCTGTTCTTGATGCTGTAGATCCATCTTCTGACTGCTCTTCCACTTGCCGTTTATCCATAACATTTCTTCGGTTTGGCTCTCTGTGGCAGCTGATACCAGTGTACTCTTGTCAAGTGGCCACACCATCTCATCTTTGACTCTTTAATAAACTCTATGACTGGTTTTAGTCATAGTCTTCTTCTAATTTCTTCATTTTTAATTGTGTCTCTTCTTGTTACTCCGACAACTCTTCTAAGATAATCTCATCTTGGTTGTTATGATTTTGCATTCATTAGTTTTAATAAAGGTCTAGGTCTGTCACTGGTACTTTAAAGCTGGCCACAAAATAGTTCTTATTAGATTTGCCTTTTCCGTGTGGATTTTAGGGCCCTATTTTGGGAAAACAAGAAAGGTCCACTGTCTGCCTAACAAGTTTATCATAGGAGTCGAATAATTGGGAGCTTCCTTCCAAGTCAGAGTAGCAAGAAACAACCGGTTGTACAAAAACAAGCGATGTACCCGCAAGACTCAGGCCCTGGCACAAAGCCAAAGTCCAAATGGACGAATAACTAAGACATTGCTTTGTAGCTTGCAGCTGGTGAACAAAGAAGAAGAAGGCGATTTGCCTTGGTAGACAAAAGTATAATTCTGTGTGTCAAAAATGGTGTTAGTTGTCCCAGCACAATTTGCTGCAGCATATTGTATGTTGATTTCTCTATTCGTTCTTCATTCTGGTGTGAAATTCACACTAGATATTTTATATTCACAGTTGTATCAATTAGTTCTTAGTCCCTGTTATTGACTGCTCATTTCTGTTGTGGTGGCTTTGGGTGTGTGTGGAATGGAGAAGGAATGATTGGTTGTGTGGCTTAGAGACGGAGCATCAAATCTTAACCCTTTCACTAGGTGTAACAATTTTGAATTTTTTTTTTTATGCGGGAAGAGAAGTAATCTCTACGTACAAACGGAGGAAAGAATTAACTGATCTTCTTCCCTTTGATCAGTTAGAAGTGGTTTTGATCACTTTGCCACAAAGAGACACGTGATGTAATAAAGAGCGTATATTTGCCACATGGATTGCAACCAGTACTGAAGTTGTCATACAGGTCTACTGACCACTATCCAAAGATGTCACGTCAATCAGAACCCATAAAAGCCAGAAAAATGGCTTTCTCGGTTTGACAGGGTCAAGTCCAGTGCATTGGACTAATAAAATAATAAATAATAACTAATAAGGAATTTAAGTAACAAAGGTGCAAATAGTACATTGTACAATTTATCGCCTTGCAGTTTTCACTGTTTCTAATCATGCACATTCACCAGAATTAATATTAAAATTTGAAATACTTTGTCTGCAAGTTACTATTTTACTCAACATGCTTAAGTACCCATAATGATAGTTTTTGTTTTGTTTCTTTGGCTTGTTTCCATTAGGTGCAATGGTCTGGATCATGTCAACAAGGTGCTTCGTGAGCAGCTGGACCAGGCCACGTCCACCAATCAACAGCTGACGCCTGGACATTCACAGTCTGACAAGGGACTGGCAGACTGCCAGGGAGGAGCTGGAAGCCAAGGAGATGGAGTGGAGGGAGGAGGAGAAGGTTTGTTGTTGTGAGGATCAGATGAAAAAGAGGGAGGGGGAGAAGGTTTGTTGTGAGGATGGAGATAAAAGAGGCAGATAGAGAAGAAGGTTTGTTGTGAGAATATTCATAAAAGGAAGGGAAGAGTAGAAGGTTTATTGTGAGGATATACGTAAAAGGAAGGGAAGAGGAGAAGGTTTGTTATAAGGATATACGTGCAAATTTCACTACATGGCATTGGGCCAGAGGGCAAACGCTCTTGCCCCGCTGGATCGATAACAACATGAGGATATACATTAAAGGAAGGGAAGTGAAAAGGTTTTTTTATGAGGGAGAAGGCAGAAAGGAGGTAAACAGAGGTTGTGAGGATGGTGAGAATATTGTGAGGATGGAGATAGAATGGAGGGAAAAAGAGAAGGTATATTGTGAGGATGGAGACAAAATGGAGGGAAATAAAAGAGGTTGTGAGGATGGAGACAAAATGGAGGGAAATAAAAGAGGTTGTGAGGATGGAGACAAAATGGAGGGAAATAAAAGAGGTTGTGAGGATGGAGACAAAATGGAGGGAAATAAAAGAGGTTGTGAGGATGGAGACAAAATAGATGGTGGAGGAGAAGATTTTTGTTTTGAGGATATGAAGACAGAATGGAAGGAAGCAGAGAAGGTTTGTTGTGAGGATGGAGACAAAATGGAGATAGGAGAAGGTTTGTTGTGAGGATATAAGGACAGAATGGAAGGAAGAGGAGCAAGTTTGTTGTTAGGATATGAAGACAGAATGGAAGGAAGAGAAGAAGGTTTGTTGTGAGGATTGTGACAAAATGGAGGGAAGAGGATGAGTTTTTTTCTGGCCTTGAAGTGCATTGGCCTAATGGGAAAAGCAACCATATTTTTTCAGACCAATTGGTTACTAGGTGGGTAATGTAGTAAGCGTTAGACCTGCCGTCTTTACTCCCCCAGGACATACATCCTGGTACCCATTTTAGGCGTGGAAAATGGTCCTTTACTTTATTTTTAAATACCATATTTATTCCATGTATAAGACACCCCCTTCTATAAGACACCCCTTTGTATAAGACACTCCTTATATAAGACACCCCCTTGTATAAGACACCCCCTTGTATAAGACACCCCCTTGTATAAGACACCCCTTGTATAAGAAATCCATTTGTATAAGACACCCCCCTTGTATAAGACACCCCCCTTGTATAAGACACCCCCTTGTATAAGACATCCCCTTGTATAAGACAACCCTTTTTTCCGAGCCTTGAATTAAGAAACAAATATTTTAAGCACATTCCATGTGTAAGACAACTCCCAGTTTTGAACATGAAAAAAATTGGGAAAGCATATCGTCTTATACACAGAAAAATACAGTATGTCTAATATTTTTTCCTAAAATTAAAGAACTATTTTCAGACAGTTGATGCATCAGGCATATTGATTTAACTCATAGTTTTATAGGCCAGTTGACTGGAGAGAGGGAAAAAAGGGGGGGGGGGGGGGAATGAGACTAAAATTACTCCCAGAAAATCTATGGGAAGTAAATAAATATAGCCTTTATGTCATTGACCACATTATTTGTTGAATGCCAATAAATAAAATAAAAAAATACAATGTTAGCAGTACTCAGTATACATCAGTGCATAGACAAGGCCCCCTTCTTTTTCTTCTTCCTGTTAACCCTGAATGCAGCATAGGCCCTCGACTAACCTGCACCATGTCATCTTTCTTTTTGCCATCGCATGCAGCTTCACCCCATGTCCTCCCCATTTTTTTTTTCCAACTTTGCTGTCTATCTAACTGCCTTTTCCATGTGTTCTTTAATATGCCTTTATTCCTTTGACCATCTGGGTTCCAGTGCAAAGGCCTTATAGTTATATTGTTCTTAGATGTTCTCAGTGTATGTCCTATCAAGCGGTAGCATATTTTCCTCATCTCTTGATTCACTGGAATTTGTTTAGTTCTCTCCTAAAGCTGCACATTAGTGATTCTTTCATACTCTTTACATCCCTCTTTAAAATGGTCCTTTGCTTGCTTTTTAAAATTTACTCATACTGTAAGTTTAATATTAATTATTTCCCGCAGTCTTTCAATGAATTTTACAACTCGGAACACTCCCGCTTGCTGTCCCTGTGGCGAGCTGTTGTTACCTTCCGGCGGCAGTTTGGAGAGATGAAAGTGGCTACTGAACGGGACCTGTCTGGTGTCAAGGGAGATATGCAGAGGGCAGCACAGTATATGCAGTCAGCCTGTCTGAACTTCAATGCTCGCACCAGGAATGATGACACACAAGCTCAGGTGTGTATTATTTGTTGTCACGCGTGAGCTAGTGCATGTAATATTTAACTTCTTTCATATGCTTGTAATTAATCATTTATATCTGCAATCATCATCTTTATCATGTGCCCTGCACTCATGCGTCTGCACAGATCACAATCCCTGGTTGCCTGGAACAGCTCTCATGATGATATCACTCCATGCCGTTGTTTCAGCCCATCCAGCATCATCTCTCTTGGTCTGCATCTACCGCCTTTTCCACTGATCTTTCCAGTTATCACAATGTTCTCCAATGTCTCTCTTCTCATTATGTGGCCAAAGAACAGTGTTTTGTCTCTTTCTTATTGTTGTATATAGAGATCTACTTTCATTAGCTTCTTTCAAGCAATCGTTGTTAGTTACTCTGGCCGTCCAAGGTATTCGTAACTTTCTTTTCAGAAACCACATCTCTGTTGCTTCCAAATTCTTCTTAATTTGTTCACTGACATTATAAGATTTGCTGCCCTGCAGTAGAACAGGTTCTGTGTAACATTTTAGCACCCTCTTTCTGACATTATCTGCAATGCTGTCTCTAGTATGAACTTCACTTTCTTTTGTAATTCACTTAGCGTCCTGCAAAGTTTGGCTTAAGCCAGTGTCTCTTTTGGCTAGAAATTCTGCCTGGGAATGTTGTATTTTGCAGTCTTGGAGAACGCTGTCTGTTGTCTCAGGTGCCAATCCACATGCACACATGGCTGATTCACCAGTGTGCGTGTAGTGTTTGTACATTTGTACCTTAGGGTATCTGCCAGCCTGCTACTGAGGTGATTTACAAATTTTCTGGGAGACGTCTCTCAGATTATTGTCATAGTAATTACTTGCTTTCTTCATTCCTACTTCTTTATTTCCTTCCTCTTTCCACGCTCTGTTCTTCCTTCTGTTTACAATCTTTCCTTACTCCCTTCTAACCTCTTTCCTCCTTGATTATTTTCTTTCTTTTCATCTTTCCCTCCTTCTTTCCTGTTTCATTCATTCTGTCTTTCCATTATTTTCTTCCTTCATCTTTTTTTCCTTCCCTCATTCACTTCCTCCAACTTTCGTTCAGTCTTTCCTTTATTCCCTTCCTCCTTCTCTCATCCTCTCCCTCTTTCCCTATTGCCACCATCATCATGCAGAATTTCTACACCTTACAGTCCTGCAGTATGCAATGTTTGTATTCTTCGGCAAGTCTTCACACTGGAGACAATACTTGATCCTAAATTATCATTCTTCATCTTAGTATTCACCAGCTGTAAACTCTGGTTGTTAGGTTTTGGTTCCAGAATAGTTTTGTGTGCACATCCATTTTACACATTTGGCTTATTTATAGGCAGACTGTTAGTTCATTGTCTGTCAGGCAGAGGCACTCCAACTTCAAAGGAAGCACCCTGAATAATCACCTGTTATGACATTTATGACAGTGGGTCTATTTTATGTCCTCGCACGATTCAACCAAGAACCCAAACTGGGAGATCCTTTATTCAGGAGTTAGTTAGTATCTACCAAGGCATGAGCAAGTAAAGCAGTCCTTGTCAGCTTCCCATTGATAGCCTATAATCTCTCTCATCCTCAAACATTCAGTAATGTTGTGGTTTGTTCTGTAAAATCTCCTTGGCTTCTAGTGTCCATAAAATTTCTATAAACATGCCATTTTATGTAATGGTAAATTTATTGCTGTATATACATTGAAAGAAAGGTTAACAGTTGAAGGTTAGAGGATCGACTTCATGCAGTTTGGTTTTGTTCCATATGGCTGGGTCACTCTCAGCAGATTGGCCACCTACCTACTGAGCGTGTCTCACAAAATATTTACTCCATAGCTCCGGCGATGATTCCCAGATGTTCATGAACTGAATGCCACAGCTGTGAAATGATCCCACGACCTTCAGAGCATGAGGCAAATGGCTTGACCTCTTCTCCACAGAGACATTGCATTTTTTTTGTTTATGTCATGTGACAGAGTACGGTCTGGTACTGCTCATATTATCACACAGCCAAGCAGTGCTTGCAGTTTGAAACTCTGTGAGTCATTTTGGGCTGTACAAGGCATGCACCAGTTGGGAGCATGCGATACATACTTGCCTTGCCATCTGTATATGAAAGATACATGGTGCTACAGGCAAAAATGGAACTTAAAGTCACAGAGGACAGAGAACACCTTCTATGTGATGGTTTGGGTGATGCTAAGGCACACACACTGAAGAGAGGTGGTTAATGAATGGTGCAGACAGAATTCACTATCAGAAATGTGTGTACAGTCAACAAGATAGCGCATGGTGAGAACGGATGACAGTGGCGCCTAGCAAAGCAGCCTTGCATAAAGTGATACATGCCTTGGACTGAGAGTGTTGGGAATCGATAGCTGGGGAAACATAAACACAGGTACAATGACAGTTCATGCCCAGGTGATATCATTATTTATGAAAATGGGTCTGTAGTGAGAGGTAAAAAGAGTAGATGAGGTTTCATTGCAAAGGAGAATAGAAGTTTAAAAAAAACAAAAAGAAAGCCTCACATATAACATCACAACATCTAGCATAAGAATAGAGGTGAAAGCAATGATAGCAGCCTTCCACTGGCTGGGGATTGGTACAGCCCAATATCAGGTTGCAACTAGCACCATCAGTTTGAGAACTCTTTGACTCCTACTGAGGAAGGGGACGCAGCCTTGGGACTGAGCCTTGTATGGGAATGTCCCGAGTCCAGTAATGTCAATTTTTGATTCATTCATTCAACGGTTTATTTCATGAAGGTGAGTCTGGACAGAGAGCGAAGTGAGAAGATGTCTTTGGAAAGTCAACTGAGAGATAAAGATCGGGATGTTCGGCAACTCCAGGACAGGTAAGTTCATTGTATGTTTACTTAGGGTAATTTAATTTCATTTGTATTGTTTGTTTTGCCATATAATATCATCATTATCATTGTTTGTACACTACACGTTGGGTCACCAGTTGCTGTCAGTTCAGCTCCCTCCACCTTTGACGATCAGATACAGTGAACTCAGTGGTTGCTTGCTTAATGCCTGTCGAGTCAATCAAGTACAATATCCAAGTATTTCTCGGTCTGCCACTTCTCCTCTTCCCTTCTACTGAGCCCTGAGAGGCCGTTAGATCTTATTACATGTCCGTACCACTGCATTTTTCATCTTTTCATTGTAGTTAAATGAGGTTCATAGTTGCCAGTGTAAGAAAAAAAATAAAGGACCCTTTTCCACGCCTTTAGGCGTATAGGGCATATGGGGCTAGACCTATATTTTATAGACCAACGGCACAAGATGGTTGATGTGGTCAGCATCACTCCGGCCACCTCTACTTCCCGGGACTGCACCCGCTACCCACTCAAGGCTGGGTCGACCTGGGAGCCAAGGTCATTTTTTTTTTAAAAGTCCGGCTCCTCCGGGGAGCGAATCCACAACCTTCTGATCCGCAGCGCGTGTCTAGCCGTTCTGCCACGGCGACTCCCAGTTGCCAATGTGCTGCTTAATTATACAAGGATTCTCCTCATTCGTGATGTGGATATGTAATGTGTTTGCCATGATGCAAGTGACTGCCAGCCCATGGCAGTGGTGAGGCTCAGTGGTAAGACCAATTCATGTTAAGACAAGTCTTCCACAGTGAGTGAGAAAAGCATCCTCCATGCAGAGTGGCAGGCATTGCTTCAGGTATCCCCAGTTTTAAATGTCCTCTTGATCTTTTATTCCATGTGTGCCAATGTGTTAGGAAACAAACAAGCAGATAGAGTGGCTGGTTCTGCACCACTGGGTGGTGAATTGATGTGTGACAAGCTAGATTGGCTTAAGACCCTTTGGGAGCAAATGAACTGTGTGAAAGTACAAATATATTAAGTTTGGAGAGAATGGTCCAGCGGGAAATGACTGGGGGATCTGACTGACACTCTACACTCAGAGTCAAGGCGTAATAAACATATAATTAAACTGATAATACTACTATTGGTATTGGAACTCTTCAGTTGCTGCTGACAGTAGGGATAGAGCACTTGTGGGAATGTCCCAAATGCTGGGATGTGAGCTGCTAACTTAACACTGAATTTTTAATACCTGATAATTTGTCTCCAGGATAAATGAACTGACCATGAAGAATGAGAGGCTGAAGATTCAGCTGGAGGAAAAGGAAAAAGCTATTAGTTTTATCCAGAAGTCACGAGTTCAGATTGAGCAGGCTAGTGAAGATGCAGAGACAGATACAGCCAGACATGTTAGTATTATTTATTTCATTAACTTCTTTTAATCTTTCATTGAGGTTTAGTTGCTGAAGCAGATCTTGTGTAATAATATCTGTATATCTAAATAGCTTTTTTCTTCTTCTTCTTCCTCCTCCTCCTCCTCTTTTTCTTCTTCTTATTCTCCTCTTTCGTCTTCTGCTTGGAATGCACATCCAACACCTAGCGCCATCTAACAAACAGAGACATAAAGTTCGATGTTGTTGTCACCTAATGACACCTTTGAAAACTACCAACTACAGTTTCCTACCATCCCACAACCATTTGTGACTTACTTGTTGACTTCCCCTCGTATTATGTTATGAATCAAAACTGTATTGTCCGCATATCGCAGGTTGTTAACAATACTCCCAGCAACCGATATTCCTGGCCTACTGTATATAATCACATTATTGATTCACTGAAGAAAGTGAATACCTTGTTTGTGGTTGAATATTGCCGTGTCCATGAGAAACCATAAGACGCACATTGTTGAGAGGCCGGAGGTGATAGACTGAATTCCATCTATAATATAGAAAGGATGGAATGAAATAAAAGACTAGACTGCAAGCCTTGTGTGACATATAATGACATTATGACACAGAAGCCTGATACAAATCGATCCGAACGTGTAAATTTTCTCGAGAAGTAAATTGTAGATGGTGCATGTAAAAACATGTCTTTTGCCTTGCAGCTTCGAGAGGAAACAGAGGCACTGCACTCTGCCCTTCGTAACATTGCTGAAGCAGTCATAAATGATGCTGACCAGTTCCTTGAAGGTGAGGAAGATGGGGTCCCTCGACGATCAGCCACACCGACCCACAGAGCCTCATCACCCACCTTCAGGGCCTCCTCCATTTCACCAACAAGGTCCAAGACCTCATATGCAAGACTGAGATCACCTCAGCGTTCTGCATCTCCCCTGACGAGATCTAGGTATGGTTGTGTCTACTTTACTGTTACTTATTTTTCTTCTGCTACAGTTTCTTCTTTTCAGTTTCTTCATTATGGTCTAGAGAGAATGGTGCAGCCGGCATTGATCAGGGGATCTGGCCAACATTCTGCACTCAGAGTTGAATTGAGTTCATTCAAGAACCAACATGGCAGTACTCGGGGCATTCCAATAAGCGCTCCGTCCCCATCGTTAGCAGCCAGTAAAGAGTTCCAATACTAATGGTGCCAGTAGCATTCTGATTAAACGTCCGTCTTGCCTTTCCTCTGAGCCTAGAGCATCTGCCAGAACCTCTCGTCACTTCCCCCTGCATCAATCTCACTAGATTGTGGTGATCCATCTGCTCCTTGGAATGCTCTCCCACAAGGCACTAACCACATCTGCCTTATCATGCATCAGTATTCCACCAAGTTGTGCAAAGCCAGCCAGTCTGTCCGCCTGTTCATTTCTCAACACTCCGACTGCACTCAGATGAGAGGCAAGAATGACATCAAATATATAATCAAACTGTTGCAGGTACCATTGGCATTGGAACTTTTCACTGGCTGCTAAAAATGAGGACAGAGCGCTGTGATGTTGGTTATTAACTCTTTTAATCTCAGCTTTTCTTCTGGTTCTTTTTCTGCTTTTCTTCTGGTTCTTTTTCTTCTCCTCCTCCTCCATCCTCTACTACACCATACCCCTGCATCTTCTCCTCCTTCTCCACCCTTCCATCCCTTTTCTTGATGTTCTCCATCACTTCCTCCCTCTTCCCTTTTATTTCTTCTTGTCATCGTCAAAAGTCCTCTTTTTATTTAATTTTTTAAGATTTCTTTCGCCCCTCCTCTCTTTCACAGAATATAGAGAAAATGTTAAGATAAGTCATTTGTCCAGTTTTTAGGTCATTGAAAACACCTTGTTTATTATTTGTGTTCTTTCTTTCTCTGCCCTGGCTACCCACATGTTTCTATTGTCTTCCATCCAGTTGTCAAGCTGTTTACCCATGGACACACTTACACACATATACACACACAAAGTTGCTAACCCCTGCTCAAGACTGATTGCCCATCCTTCTCTCTGTTCGACACATCCATCCGTCTTCTACAGATCTGTGTATTTTGCACCACTATTGCCACAAAGTGTAGGATAAGCTTGAAGTGATCTGCCTAGAATCACATGTCCCACCTGCACCCCTTTTCTTAGGTGATCCAAGAAGCCGCAAAACTGACACTTCCAGTTGGTTCAGTTCTCCATATAGTAGTGGTAGTAGACTTTTACCCCACCAGGAAATCACACAAGCTATAAACACCCGATGACACAGAGTACCACCATGTGGATGGGGATCACCCGTGGAGAGGTCCCAGAAACCGCATTCAGCCATTAGACCATATTTATAGTTGGGCTATATTGCAGCCCCTGTCAAGAGCCAGGGTGGGGCTTCAAAATAGAGAAAAATTGCATCTCCCAGGGAGATGACAGGAATATATGCTTGTTCTCCATATTTACCATTTAAATAACTTGTCTACATTAATCTGCTTACGAAATGTGTAGCTTAAAACTGTTGGTTGTTTTCGCATCTGTGCAGTGTTTAGGAGGTCAAGATATAAATATAATTATTTATAGCATTATGGAGAGTTTCATGTGAACGAAATGTGTTTTTTGCAAGCTGTGTTGACGTCAGATGTTATCCAAAGCCTCAGTGATAGAGGTAACAGAATCACACTATGAATAACCCAATATATTTTGATTTTGCTTAGGCCCCGGGATATGCATTCCATTTTTAACTTCCCTCTGTGTGTGTTTATTGATTGCTCCCTTTATATATTTTTATATTTTTTTTAACAGATTTTTTTAATGTAGATGAATAATTTTGGAAAAAAACTTTAATTAGTGACCTTTGTCAAGATTTTGTTTTTTTTTTTTTTTATTTTAAATGGATCTTTTTCATAAAATTCCAACTAGTTTTTGACATTTAGTATTCCTGTGGCAACAGGGTTAGAATAAACCATATTTGATTAAATAAATTGTGTCATTAATCGTTATATCATTGAGCCCACATAATGAATGAACATTGGTACAATTCCAGATCCCCCGCTTTCGCTGACGCTACATTCTCGGCTGTTCAGGCAGCACTGAATAAAAGACAGCTGCAGGTCAGTATTGTACCTTGTGTATCATATAGTTTAGTGAACATGTTTCATAATTCTCAAGTAGTAGGGTACTGCAATGGATGGTTCTGGCCGTTCTCATGGTTTACCAGCATTAGAAGATTTCCACCATGAGAGAGAGATTGGGAGCTCACTAAGTAATGTTCCCAGAGACAGTAATAAATGCACAGCAGCCCTCTCTTGTGGATGAAGGCAGTTGCGTGCTGTCGACCACATCACCCACAGGGTGCTGATTGATCTATAGAAATATGAGTCAAGCATCATATGCCTATAAGAAAAGATCTAAGGAAAAGACAAGCACTGATCTTTGGTTCTTTAGATAATATAGTGACCACTGGGAAGATCAACAGTAGAAGAGGGAGAGGCAGGCCGAGAGAGATGATGATGGATGGATTGTGACAGTGGCACGGAGGGATATCATCGGTGAAACTGATCCAGAAGACAAGGGACTGAGATATGTGGAGATGCATGAACGCTAACGCTAGGCAGCAGGGAATGTGGGGATGATGATGATTATATACCTGATGTGTCACTGGCGCAAAAAAAATTTTTTCTATAACTTTTGTTTATCTTCACTAAGAAAGTAAGAAGTAAAGATCCCTATTCACGCCTTCAGGCACATCGGGCATATGGGAAGAGCGCCCATAATTTTACAGACCATTGGCACTCGATTGATAATGTGGTCAACATTACGCCGGCCGTTTTTACTTCCCCAGGACAGCCATCCTGGTACCCATTTTAGGCTGGGTCGACCTTGCAGCGCCCAATACCATGATAAAAATCCATGCAGCCAGCAGTGGGTTTTGATCGCGGTACGTTGGAATTACGAGTCGGACTCGCAACGCTACGGACGCCGCATCTTCACTGTGGAGACAGTGAAATTGTTTTTTTTTTTTTAAATTTAACACTGAGTGTAGAGTAATCACTTATAATGGTATTATTATCACCATCATAACAGCAGAAGACATGATACAAGGGCCATCATGATGTAGCAGCTAGACACTGCGGATCCAAAGGTTGTGGGTTCAAATTGGGGTGGTGTTGGATTTATTTCAAAAATGACCTTTGCTCCAAGGTTGACCCAACCTTAAATGGGCCCCAGCAAAAGTCCTGGGAAGTAAAGGTGGCTGGCGTGATGCTGACCACATCACCCACCAGGTGCCGACTGGTCTATAAAATACAGGTCTAAAGATGTGGAAAAGGGTCCTTTACATTACTATGATACCGAGATAGACAGGGGCCTTCCAGCACAAAGATGGGCACAGGATATTAGTTAACGCTGGACTCTTTATAATAAAGTAATAATGTGAAATAAAATAAAATAATTAATGTTATAAAATAATTAATGTTGTAATGTTAATAAAATGTTAATTATTTTATTTTATTTCACATTATTACTTTTTTCTATTTCTTATCAGTATCATTTATGTATCATTAACATTTGTATTTCTTTTATCCCAGTATTATATTATATATTAAAAATACTACTGTTTATTTTTTTGTGACTATATTTTTTTAGCCATTGTTTATTTTATTTTATTTCATTTATTCCACATCACATTTTTTTTAAACGTCGCTCACGTCACCCCTTAGATATCTACATACTCTCCTCTCCTCTTTGTTACGTTTGTGTAGTTCACTTATGTTAGCGTGGCTAATGATCAGTTTCCAGAATAGAGTGCACTTGTTAGCTTGCTCCAGGGTGACATTGTTGAGTTACGATGGGGCGAGTTCATTCTAACCATGTGGCCAAACCATTTCAGTCTTTATTTTTCAGTAAATATAATTACAGGTGTTGTTCCCGCCATTCTAATGACATCTTCATTTCTTTTATGAGTTAGATTTTCTTCACAGCCCTCCGGACACATCCATAGGCACTCAGATTCCCCTCTCAACATATTCATCAGTGTTGTGCGGTTAATAGTACCAGTCCTCATTTCTTTTATGATCTCTTCTTGTTATGTTGTATGCTTTTCTCAAACATCTCATTTCACACATCTTTAGTTTCTGCTGTTGTTCTTTTGTTATTGTTTTAAAGAAAATGTAACTACCATAAATTGTGGTGCACAATTTTGCCTGGCATGCAAGTCGATATTCAGATTGTTAATTCAAAATTCTCACCTAAAGCATTTTATACTCACAGTGCAAGGGAACCGCTCATTTTAGAACAGTTTATCAGCCTGGAAAATTAAACTTATATGCCACAATTAATGGTAACTTTAGTGCTTACTTATATAGTCCACACTCTTTACTTACCCTGAGATTTAGAGGTTCGCCAGAGAGATCACCAGTCTCTCTATCAGTAGTTTTATTTTTGGTTTGTTCCATTTAGGTCCTCTGTCAGTCAGAGACTGTCGGATGTTTTCTTCTCTGTGAACCCTGAGTCATCCTGGAAGTCTTGTTCCCTGTTTCTTGGCCTCCCATGCCAGTGTCGGCAGCTGATTCTCCCCCATTATGCATACATGTCCAAACCATCGTAACTGTGACTGATCCACTGGAGTTTGTAATTATATTTCTTGTTTTAGGTATCAGAGCTAAGAGCCAAACTGAATGCCACTCGTGACTCGAGTACATCGCTGAAGAAGGCTCTGGAAGATGCCAGCAACGAGAAGAAGAGAATGGAGCTTGTCATTTTGAACCTCAAGGAGGATCTAGAGACTGTGTTAGTGTTTTTTTTTTTTCTTATTGTTCATGTTGTATGCTGTTGGTAATCATCTCTGTTTACAGCCTTCTGTCTAGTTTACTTTCAGTCATTTCTGTCACAGATGATCTTCCATGCTATAATGCTAACTGTCCAGCATATTCTATCTTAATCTTCATCTGCCTCTCTTCCCTGCTAGCTTTTCCATTGTCAAGCTATACTTTTCCCTTCTCACTGTTTTATATGTTGGTCACATACAACAGTCTTTGAAGACAAAATCATTTAATTGTTTATTTAAAGTTATTTGTTTAACTCTTTCAGTTCCACAAGGTTTTGTACACACAAAAAATGTATCATTTACAATAATTACTGCCACAAAAATGATAAATATTTGCTGTGTTTTTAAGAATGAAAAGGAATGAAAGATACCTCTGTAGTTGCCAGTTGCCAGATTTTTTTAATACACACTGACCAAAAATTTTATATAAGAAGACATTGAGGTGATGTTTGAGACAAGAGGGGAAAAATCAGTAACACATCATGCATTGTTTGAGACTAAAAGAAGTAATGTTTAATTTTTCATTAACTTTTTCAGTGCCAGGTAGTAGAAGTTAAACCATATTTAAACTTGCTAAGAAAATAGGGGCATATGAATAGGAAGACAATGCAGTCTTCTTCTTTTCAATTAGTGTTTGCCTGCTGTAAAACTCCGGCAGAAAGTACTTTTATTGCCCAGTTCAGGACTATGGCATTATTCCAGGATAGAGGGTTGAGTTGCACATCCATTTTACAGATTTGGTTTATGTATATGCAGACTGTTGGTTCCCCACCTCTCAGGCAGATGTACTCTGACTTTGAAGGAAACACCCTTAACTCTTTAAGGCCCATAAATTTTGACTTGGCCTACAATAATTTCCCTTTACAAAAGTGGCAGAGGGGTGTGTGTACAAGAAATGCTCTAGAAAATTAATATACTTCTAATCCCTATAAAAGTATATATTTTTTTAAAGAGATATGAATGTAAATTTTGAATCTGATGTAAGTATTTGTTTAATTTTATTATAGTTAATATGAAAAAAGAAATCAGCAGGTGTTAATTTCACAAGGACAACATTTCACAAACAAATTCTTCACTTACCATGGTTTTGCAGCCACAAGAGTAGGGAATATCCAAATTTGAGAACAAAACTTCAAAGTCTGTTCAATTTCCTAACATATTCCAAAGTTATCATGTTTCTGGGTTAGTTTAGCACTCAGGGGCTCTTAGTTCTCACAGAGTCCTGAGCAAAATTTCAGAGAAAAAATGGAAGAAAAATGAGCCATTACACACACACTATTTACTTTGTAGTTATTTACAGACTGTAGCTGCGATGATTTAAATGTAGCTTAGCCATAGTATAGTACAATCTATTTGTTTAGAGTAATTTCCTTCTCTTACACCATAAATACGGTAGTAGGGGACATTGTCTGTGTAATAAACTAATCAGAATCCCTAGATTCTGAACAGCTGATAGCTCAGTTTCGCTGGTGAAAATTCACCGTCCGAATCACTTTCCGAAAAATCTAAATATTTATTATCATTATTACAATTAAAAACATCTGACTTAAACAATTTCAGAGCTTCAGCTGCAAAAAGACGCATTCTGCGACCTGTACTTGTGGTTGGAAAATTGGTATTCATGGCACTCGAAAACAAACTTAGGAAATGCAATGTTGAAAATTTTTTTTTCAAATAATGCACGTGTTTCTTAGGCTAGGAAATTAAACTAAAAGGATTTCGGCTGAGTGACTTTCCCTGAATAGTTTAATCGTACCTCCGAACATTAGAAACTAGTACGGAGGCGTGTGCGAAGCAAAATATACGGGACACAGGATCGACGATGACAGCGTTGTTTGGGCAAAACGGAACTTCTCAAACAACGCTCACACCGTTGCTTGGGCCTTAAAGAGTTAATTAGTTGACATTTATGAATGCTTTTTGGGCAGCAATGGGTCTGTTATTTTTATCCCTCAAATTAGGGAACTAAGTGAGTTAAAAAATAAACTGTACTTCAGAATCACTTAGCAAGCCATTGAAGATGTTTCCAAGTACCACACCTAGTATGCATGCTGTTGGTTGCAGTCACTTGTTATAGACCTTTCACTGTGTTCACCTGATCATAAAGAAGATCACATATTTGGGGATCGTTGCTAAAAGCTACGGAGTTTGTGCGGCGCTTTCAGCAGACGGCTAACTGTTCTGTGGAGAGAGATCGAGCCATATGGGAAAAACTTTCTGCATTGAAGTCGATTGTCTCAACTTTAATCTTTAACTTTATTTCACAGACGAAGGGAGAAAGAGGACTCCTCACGAGATCGAGATCGAATTAAAAATGTTCTGAACCAGACCGGCTCAGAAAAGTCTCAGCTGGAGCGGGTCAGGGCAGAGCTAAACACCCAGATTGAAGATCTGCAGAAAGACAATGAGAGGCTGAAGGCTGCCAATGGGGAACTCCAGCGAATGCGAGATAACCTGGAGGATGAGAAGGAGGACATTATCAAGGACAAGGACCGACAGGTCAAGGAGAATGAAAGATGGTAGGTATCCTGTGGGTAGGGATAGATGGAAATGGATGTGGTATAGTAGTTTTTAATATGACTTTTAATATTCCTCGTTTACTCTGGAACAAATACAACTTTCTACAATTGACAACACTGAAACGCTGCTCTGATTCCACAACTATGCCACAATAATCATTTACTTAGCATTGACAACACTGCATTCGAACTACATTGACAACATCATGACTGTCTTCTCTGGTACACAACTGTCTTCTCTGGTACACAACTGTCCACAAGTCAACCACGGACTTTCTCTCGTTTACCTTTCCAGCCCCAAGTATCTCGTGGGGTTGTTTGTCGCACAGATTTTCTGCTTGACTTGCTGCTAACGTGGAGACCATGCAAAGCACCTCATCACAATGACTGGCTGAAATGTAGAGTAATTATAATATGATGTGAACTGAAGATGAGAAAGATAATTCTCAAGAGTTATATTAATCCTATTTGGATCTATGGAAGTAAACCATGGACAGTTTGACAATTAGTGAAATAGTATGTGGAAGCAGCAGAGATGTGGTTTTACAGACAAATGTTGAGAATATGTAAGACAGGTAAAAAAAAAAAGTAATGTAGATAGATGTCTTGAAAGAAACTGTCTCACAAAGAGAACTGATTGCCCACATCAGCAGGAGACAATTAACATTTTTTTGGGTCATGTTATGAAAGGGATAAAACTGGAGTACATCGTGATGGTTGGAAAGTTGGAGGGGAAAAGAGGCAGGGTAAAATGAGAAGAAGGTGCTAGAAAGTTTGATATCTTGGCATGAAGATTATCTTTGTCAGAATTGATTCAAAGTACACGAGAGAGAAGGTTGTGGATAGACACGACTACCAATGCTAGAAGGTATGGAAGATCATCTGTGTCAGAATTGATTAAAAGTACACGAGAGAGAAGGTTGTGGGTAGAAATGACTACCAATGCCACAAGGTATGGAAGATCATCTGTATCAGAATTTATTGCTAGTACACGAGACAGATGATTGTGGATATACCTGACTACCAACATCACAAGGTATGGAAGATTATCTATGTCAGAATTGATTAAAAGTACACATGACACATAAGGTTGTGGATAGACATGACTACCAGTGCCACATGGCATGGACTTTAAGAATAAATTAACAGCAGTTTTAGTATGTTATTACAGACAAGAAAATTTTATTATGATATTGCTAAAATTATCAGCAGGTTTTCTATGGGCTGGCTGAAATGAAAAGTAGATTGGAAACTAATGATTACGATTACCTATGTGTAATCCATACCATACATCTGAAGAAGCTATTTTCTTCTAATAACTTTGCAATCTTCTTCTTCTTTTTTCTACTTCTGAAATGCCTCCTAGCATCAGGGCATCAAGATCTCTGGAACGGTCCCTTCTGTTCACCTCGTATAATGCACTTTTCACTGCATTGTCTGTGATATTTCTGCAGTGCATCTTCTGCATGGTCGACCTCTGGATCTGTTACCGCTGCATCTGTATAACATTGCGGTCTCTCTAGTGCACTGTCTGTTGCCAGTCTTGTTATATGGCCAAGCCATTTGATCTGTTGTCTACTGATGAAGTTCATTTTCTTCATGATGGCACAGCGTTGGTAAGAATATTTTGTTGAACAGTGCTCGTTTAGTGTTTATATTCACATGCTTGCATTTCAGTATTGTGCCATTTGTCCTGTATTGCTTTATTGCATTTTTTTTTTTTTTGAAAAAAAAAAATTCTTCATAGATATTTTGTAATCAGATATGTCTTATCCACAGCCAAAGAGTCATTGAACAGCTGGAGCACAAGATGTCATCCATCAGAGAGGAGCTGTTAGCAACAAAAGAGGCCCTTAACAGAGCTCTTCTAGACAAAGAAGTTTTGGATGGTCAGAATAGAGAAATAAGTAAGAATTTTTGATTTAAAATTGGGAAAAAATCAAGAGCTTTAATACAGAATAAATAAATAAATAAATAAATAAGTAAATAAATAAGTAATAGTTTTATTTACAGAATAGAAAAAAAATAAGAGTGTATTTGTTTACTTGTCTGATATGATCATAATGGAGAAATAAGAACGAATTTTGATATAAAATAGACAGATCATGTCCTCTAAAGACTGTCTCAAATACAACATATCAAGGCAAAACTTTACGGGTCGCTGAGTGAATTACAAAAGACAGTGAAGTTCATACTAGAGACAACATTGCAGATATAGATAATCTATTTCAAGCGAACGAAAGAAGAAGAATTTGATATAAAATAGAGAAGTTAAGTAAGAATTTTGATATAAAATAGAGAAAAGGTAAGAAATTTGATATGAAAGAGAGAAGTAAGAACAGAATTTGGACCACTACATTTTTTAAGTCCAGTCGGTAACTGTTGTACAACCACAGATTCTCTAAGGTATTGAAACTGTTACCTTCAGATGACACCTTGTCAAGATCACAGCTGCAGAAAGCAGAGCAAGAAGTGGAGATCAACCATCTCAGACGAGAGGAAGCAGCACTGAAAGATGCCCTAATGAAGCTGCAGGCACTCAATGAGGGGCTGGGCCAGGACAAGATTGAGCTCAATAGGATCATCCTTCAGGTATTATTTGTTTTGTATATACATCAGAGGGAAAGTTGGAGAACCAATAAACATATGGAAGGAAAGTTAAACTTTTCGCTTCCACAAATGCACACAAAAACAAAAATGGTCATGGACTCATGGGAATGCCCACCAAAAAATAAATTCTATACAGGTACCTAATAAATTGATTTACAAATTTTTTTTCATTAGCAGTTTTACATTTTTGTTGAAATATGTAAAGATATATAAATGGGGTGATCAGTAAACCAAACAGAGTTAAGCATTAAATGGAATACATTTTCCAGGACCGAAAAAGTATTATCTGTGACCCCGTGACCTCTATCACTGGGGCTTATGAGAAAATTTTATATAAACTTGGTTTTTAAAAATCTTTTGATTTTAACGGCCCTCACCCCAACCCCGCTTTTCCTAAATGCTGAGTTGAACCTTTTTTTTTTTAAAGTGCCAGAAAAAGATTTTTTGGGAGATGCCGATGAAAACATATCTGTGATTAAAATTCATCAATCCATTATTTTTAAATCAGTAAAATAAAGGTATTAGTGACCATTAGAAAAGCCAGATTTCTTGAGTGTGATTCAGCTGATAGAGTGATTCGCATATCATTTGTTGTTTGGGATTCAAAGAGTCAATATATTCACATCCTGATATTATAAAAGTTTGCACAGATGCAAACTTAGCTTGATAAGTATAGTCACATCTGCCTACACATCACCTGATTCTTATATTTTTTATAAGTTTAATCATGTTACTCTACACAAGGGCTATTCAGCTAAATTTATTTGGTGCCAAAATATTGAAAACGGGGATCATCACAGGCCAGAGGTCAGAGCCCTTTAACACAGTACAACTGGCAATGATCTACGGGCCAGTTGCTGAGCATCCGCAGGCCAGATTTGGCTTGCAGGCTGCCAGCTGAATAGCCCTGCTAAGTACGCACCTGTTTATTATGTTCTTGACAATTCAGTCTTGTCACTTCATCAACTCCTGTTTCTTATGTTCTCCATAATCCAGTCTTAATCACTTTTAAATATCTGTTTCTTATGAGCTTCATAATCCAGTATTGTCACTTTATCAACTCCTATTTCTTATGTTTTTCATAATCCTATCTTTATTACTTTATCAATATCTGTTTCCTATGAGCTTCATAATCCAGTCTTGTCACTTTGTCAACTCCTATTTCTCATAATCCAGTATTGTCACTTTATCAGCACCTGTTTCTTTTGTTCTTCATAATCCAGTCTTTATCACTTTATCAGTATCTGTTTCTTATGAGCTTCATAATCCAGTATTGTCACTTTATCAACACCTGCTTCTTACGTTCTTCATAATTCAGTCTTGTCACTTCATCACCACCTGTTTCTTATGTTCTTCATAATCCAGTCTTGACACTTTATCAACACCTGTTTCTTATGAGCTTCATAATCCAGTCTTGACACTTTATCAACACCTGTTTCTTATGAGCTTCATAATCCAGTCTTGACACTTTATCAACACCTGTTTCTTATGAGCTTCATAATCCAGTCTTGACACTTTATCAACACCTGTTTCTTATGAGCTTCATAATCCAGTCTTGACACTTTATCAACACCTGTTTCTTATGAGCTTCATAATCCAGTCTTGACACTTTATCACCACCTGTTTCTTATGTTCTTCATAATCCAGTCTTATCACTTGATTAACACATGTTTCTTATATTCTTCATAATCCAGTCTTGTTACTTTATCAACACTCATGTTTCTGGATAACGATAATGATTTCACTGTCTACAATACAAACTGTGATGATTTTTTTTATCATAAATATGTAAAAATGTCAGCATCTGTGGCTTAGACATTGTGAACATGTTTCTTAATTCTAAGGTCTCAAGTTCAATCTTAGCTGCGGGCGATTTAGCAGCATACTGCCTTGCATTGGTTTCAACAGTGGTATCAGGAGCGAACTGTTAGATATCAATGGCGAACTGCTGAACGTAAAGTTGTCTAGTAAATCAAACAGCCAAAAAATGCTTGGGTTGGTTCTGCAACATCCTGTAAAGGATACACAGCTACCTTTATTCTGCAAGTTTTGATCTTGGTTCCCACATCTCAGAGCCTGAAGTTTCTCTTAAGGACATTCATATGTGCAGGGTAATGGACAGGCTGTTGCTATTGCTCCTCTGGGCGGCAAGCTACTTATTGGTAAGACAGATATAGTAAAGGCTGTCCGGGATCAAGTGGGAAGTGCAGTAGAATAGTCAGAATAGCCATACCTGAAGAGACTGATACAACATGGAATGAGCAAAGGATCTGGGTGAAATCTATGTTGCAGTGGCAAAAGACAGGTGTACTTTTCATCAGGTTGTAAATGTTACCATCAGTATGGGCTCTCTTCATTGGCCACTGGAGAGCTAGGAGACTAAGCATGTGTGGGTCTGTCCCTAGTGCAGTGATGTCAATTGTTAATTCATTTATTCGCAGCTGGAAGCAGAGAAGGCCTCCCTGAGTGGTGAGAAGTCTGCCTTGGAGCAGGAGAAGTCTGGCATTCGGGAGGAGCTGGTCAGGGTTGAGCAGGAGAAGATGGACTTGGATACAGAGAAACATGGTGGGTGTTGTTGTGATGATTTGTTATGTCTGTGGCCTCATTATTTTCTTTGTAAAGCTGTGATGATTTGTTATGTCTGTGGCCTCATCATTTTCTTTGTAAAGCTGTGATGATTTGTTTTGTCTGTGGCCTCATCATTTTCTTTGTAAAGCTGTGATGATTTGTTATGTCTGTGTCCTCATTTTCTTTGTAAAGCTGTGATGATTTGTTATGTCTGTGGCCTCATCATTTTCTTTGTAAAGCTGTGATGATTTGTTATGTCTGTGGCCTCGTCATTTTCTTTGTAAAGCTGTGATGATTTGTTATGTCTGTGGCCGCATCATTTTCTTTGTAAAGCTGTGATGATTTGTTTTGTCTGTGGCCTCATCATTTTCTTTGTAAAGCTGTGATGATTTGTTATGTCTGTGTCCTCATTTTCTTTGTAAAGCTGTGATGATTTGTTATGTCTGTGGCCTCATCATTTTCTTTGTAAAGCTGTGATGATTTGTTATGTCTGTGGCCTCATCATTTTCAATCGTTTCTTTTATATCAGGTATATTTATATTTTATATCAGGGGAGTTTTTAAACCTCTCCTGTTTATCTTGTAGTGTTTTTTTCATCATCTCTCTTTTTTTTTTATGTGTTTTTAATCCTGTCTAATTTATTATGTGGAATTTTTAATCCCCTATAATTTATTACATGGAATTTTTAAATACTGTTTTTTTTTTTTTTTTAAATAATTTCCCCCCCCCCCCCTTTTTTTTTTTTACTTTAATTGTGGGGAGTTTTTAATCCCCTCTATTTTATTATGGGAAGCTTGTAATGCCTACTAATTTATTATATAAAGTTTTTAATCATCTACTTTCGTTGTTGTTGTTTTTAAATCCCTCTAATTTTGAATGTGTATTTTTAATCCTCTGTTTATTAAAAATGCATATCCTCTCACATTTTGTAGTGATTTTCCATTTCAGTTATTTATTATATATATTTTTGTACCCTATGAATATTAATAATTAAAGGTTTATCCACATGAACAATAAAACATTTTTTGCAAAATTTTTTTTTTTTTAACTTTTTTTTTTTCTCAATTCTTTTTTGGGGGGGTCTTGTCCTAAGGTCTCAATCATACCTTGGAACTGTCTGAGATGTCCAGACATCAGCTAGAGGAGGAGATTGCTGGGCTGACCAAGGACAAGCAAGAAGTTATTGCTCAGCTCAATGTAGTAAGTTGTTCTACTCTATTGAGTCAATTGTTCTAATCTAGTAAATTGTTCTAATGTGGTAGGTTGTTTTAGTCAGTGTATAAGAAGTGGTCATTCAAAACCTGTTCATTTCGCACCATGCCTGCATTGAACAAAATTATGTCATAGTCATGTGATAAGTACTGGCTAATGAATAATAGAGCACGTGTATATCGTCCCACGATGCATAGGTTCTATTTCCGACTGTTCAGATAATGGCTGGGTTGAGTCAAAATCCACCCAAATCGTCCAGCCTAATATGTCACCATGTGATTTTCATTTGTTTGGACCTCTGCAATGGAGTCCATGCTTTGTGTGACCATCTCAGCAGGCGGCTAGCCGTTCTGAAGAAATAGACTGAGATATATGGCTAAAATCCAGTGCAGTGAAGTCAGTCCTTTCACCTTTAACCTCAGAAAGGTCAGAGAACATGTATTTTGTGAGGAATTGTCCAGGAAGATAATGGGTGACTGCACAGTCAAGCTAAAACCAAGAAATGATTCCAGTGAACTGTGACTCACAATCTTAACAAAAGTGGGGAAACACACACACATTGGATGTTTTGGCAGGAGCCTTTATCAACAAAAACCACACCAACAACAACAAGGGGCAGAGTATATAGTACTCCTCAGTCAATTAATATCCAGGAAGAGTTGGTAGTAAGTAAGTAAGATACAGTCACTTTCTGAGGCAGTTGACACTTGCACCTTTGATTTAGGAATTATCCAAATTATCTGCCAACATGGTGCATGTCAAGCAGAATTTGAACTCTGGCAAAGCCTAGTCTTCTCCAGATGGTGATTTCCCTGTTAAATCGCTATCCTCATGGGGACAGTTACCAGTTCTGCAACACAGGAAGGTGGGAGTTTGCTTTTATGATTACTTGTATGATTACGAGATGGCAGCTCTAAAAGAGCTAGCTGCCCACCCACCTTGCTGGTTGCAATTTTAGGCATGACTACACCTTAACAGACCAAATAATACTGTAGGACTTAGTAGATGGGAAGATAATAAGAGGCAGACCAAGAAAGACCTGGATACAGAACTTGCCTGAATGGACAGGCCTGCTTGCAGCAGTTGTAAAGTTATCATTGTCCGCTAACTTGACCATTGTTTGCTTTTACAGTTATCCAGACAAAAGCACGCCCTAGCAGATGAACTATTGACAGGACGGAGAGAAGTGGAGAGGTTGCAAGCAGCGTTTGAACGTGTGATCAAGGAGAAGGAGATACTGACACAAGACAAAGGAGAATTAGTTGTCCAGGTAGGGTTTTTGTTTTTGTTTTCTCTGTATATATCCTAAGCTGACTGGTTAGTTCATTCTGCTTCTTCTTCTTACCACTCACCAGCTGCAAACTCTGGCAGATCATTTTGGTTATTAGTCCACTTCTGAACTTGTGGTTTTGTTCCAGGACCTGAGTTATCTCAGCACTTCCTTATAGATCTGGCTAATTTGTATGCAGACTGTTGGTTCCTTGCCCTTCAGGCATATGCACTCACTAAGATATGAGGAAGAAGTAGAGTAAAAAAAACAAATGCAGGAACAAAAGAAAAGGAGAGACATAAAGTGAGGAGGGACAGATAAAAGAAGGAGAGAGACAAATAAGAGAAGGAAAGAGACAAATACAAGAAAGAGAGACAGAGGAAAGGTAAAAGTCAGGATTGAGAGATCACAGTGAAATAAGGAAATCAGCACAGAAAAGATGATAGGTAGAAGTGAGACAAAATAGAAGAGAAATAGAGCAAGGAAGACTGCAAGGAAATACAGAAAAGACACAAAGGAGAGAGAGAAAGACAGGAAAGAAAAATGGGGAAAGATACAGAAAGACAAGGTCCGACAATTAGGTAATGAGACTGATTTTTTTTTTAATGGCTAAGACAAAAATGCCATCTATGATTCACAGCATTGTAATGGGTTAACACTTAAGTGATTCATCTATCATTGTGGTCTGTCATTAAAAAAATGTAAGAGCAGTCTCATAGTTCTTACAGCTGTTGGCGTTAAATTTAAAAAAGATACAGTTAAAATCAAACGGATTGACTTAATTGCACCGGATGTTATCCCAGGTGGCTCTACCTCTCTTCTCAGAATGGCTAGCGGCATGCCGAGAGTATCACACAAAGCACGAACTCCATGTCTGCAGCGAGGATCCCCAGGGATCACCCATACAAATTGCACTTATAAACTGAATGACACCACAGTAAAAAGTTTTAGTAGCTGTGGCCACTCGTGGAAAGTTTTAAATACTTGTTAGTTTCTGACAATCTAATCCCCTGGAATATTTGTATTATAAATCTCTATCTTCCTTGCCACAACATACAGATCACTGCCTGTGAAAGAGAAAATCGACAGCAGGGTGAGATTATAGCAGCTTATGCCGCTGACAAAGACAGCCTGGAGAGCGCCCTCTGTGATACACAGCAACACGTTAGAGAACTGGAGGTCAGAATGTCACAGCTAGAGGGAGAGAATCAAGAACTGATCGTGAAAAAGGAACATCTGCAGTGTGAGTTATCTTCGATTATATGTCCCTTGATGTCATATACAGTGCTTGTACTGGTACTTTGATCTGTTGCCTATTGTTAATTAGGATCAACCATTTTATGGACAGACCAGAGCAAGTTATAATTCTATGCTTTAGAACAGAACACATTCGACTTCGCAGCCACATGTACGCAAAATTTAAAATTGGCAAATCAGCCATGTTTAAATGCGGACTGGCACCTGAGACAACAGATCATGTCCTCCAAGACCGTCCCAAATACAACATATCAAGGCTAAACTTTTGGCCGAGAGAAACATCAGTGTAAGTCAAACTTTACGAATCGCTGAATGAATTACAAAAGACAGTGAAGTTCATACTAGAGACAACATTGCAGATATCGATAATTTATTTCAAGCGAACGAAAGAAGAAGAATAAGGATAGGCTGGCCATATGGTTAAGAACACTGGGCTCTCATGCAGGGGTCCCAGGTTTAAGTGCTAGTTAAGGTTGTGGATTCTTTTGTTGTTGGGGGCAAAAAGAATATCTTAACCTGCACAGTCTGTGCGACACTGTTTGAAACCGCCAAGGGCAGGCCAACATTTAACACAGCCCTGGTCAGTTTGATATGCAGTAAAACTGACAAGTTCCAAGAAATTAAAAAATCAAGAGTTTGTGTTTAAATAAATTGTGCTTACCGGGGACTATTATGATTCATGGTCAGGATGCTTTCCCTTTTCTGGTTTTTCTCAATAAAGGCTGTTGCCAGAATGTCTGAATGTTCCTTCCCCCCCCCCCCCCCCTTTTTTGCATTAAGCTTCTTAGTCTCAGTTAAATGAATTAATTTCTTTTGTGCACACCATTTTGTCCCCATGTGGGTTCTTGGGCTCCATTTGGGGGGGGGGGGGAGATAGAATAGACCCCACTACCCCTTAACAATCGTGTTGTGCAAGGCAACTTTCCACCACATGCTCTGAAAAAAAGGGCATCAAACAGAAAAGAAAAGGCAAATCATGGCTGTGTAGGGTAGAGGATGATATCAAGCAGGTCTGCAGTCTTACAGACATCCACCTTGGTGAGGAGTGGATACCAGTGCCTAAAGTGCTTAATCGTATCTTCTGCTGTGTTGTCGCACTTGATAGAGGTTATCAGGAGCAGAATTCCATTGCTGATAATGCCAAGGTCTGCGCACTTATCAGTGACAAGTTTTATGAAACAGATGTGCTGATCTACCCAGACGGGCACGTTTTACGAGGAAGTAGAGTGCATGGGCATTTACAGTCTGCTCTGCGGGCAAAACAGTCCAAGAAGCCAGCGCTGCTGTCTCTATGACTACCAGCAGCATGATGATGAACGGGATGGCGATGACACATGCTTTTATATGGCTAGAATCACAGGACTGTTCCCACGTCTCTGTGCTAAGTGATTCTATGAGCATGATCCGGCAGGTCAAGGCAGGCTTCATTTGCAGACAGTGGATTGAGTCATTACAAAACTCTCCTCTGTGTACAGTTATCTTCTTATTTGTCCTAGGTATGCAGGTGACATTGGCAATGAAAGGTGATAGATTGGCAGGTTCTACATTACTTGCAGATGGCCAGCCTATGCTGACATTGTTAATGCCCTTAGAGAGATAGGACACTCCTAGGTTATTGGAAGCACATCACTGCTATGAATACGAGAATTTAGATTAAAGATCGGCATAGTCAAGCATGAGAGGCACACCGGATGCACATGAAGTCTTGTTAACCAGTATAGGACTGGCACTAATAACAACATGATGCTGATGAATATGTTGAAGGGGGAATCTGAGCACCTATGGATGTGTCCTGAGTGCTATGAAGATAATTCAACTCATAACTCACAGGGATGTTTCCTTCAAGAGGCTAAGAGGTGAAGAACCAACATTAAACAGATAAGCCATTTATTTAAAACAAATGTGCACCCAAAACTCAGAGTTCAGAAGTGTATGAACAACCAGAACTTTCCAATAGAGTTTACAGCCGGTAAACACCAAGATGAAGTCTTCGTGTTTGCTGCCATTCTCTTTATATTTTTTTGTCCTAGCCACTGCAATTAGCTGTCCTGATGCCAGTAATTAATAATCAATATTACTCTATTTAAATATTTGTTGTGATGCAGCTGACATTGCCCGGTTGGAGAAAGAAAAACAGACTGACCTTGAGATGTTTGAGCATGTTAAAGGATGGGTTGAATCAGAGACTTCAGCAGCAGACGCGAGAATCACAGCTGACACTGACAAAGGAGAAGCAGGCGCATGAGGAAGATGTGGAAAGGTTGATGAGAGAAAGGGTGAGTATTTTCCTTTTGTGAGTTAAGAGCCTGATGGTAATATTAGCCTTTCACCCCGGTGACCTAGGGAAAAAAAAAACAAAGCCAAGCTCCCATACTTTCCATTTTGTGGGAAGTTACAGAACATAAAATCCTTAAAAGAACAAGTTTTACATGTCGCAGAAAAAAATAGCACAGAATCAGTTTATCATCCAAAACGCCAGCATATACTGTACAGAATAAGGGTAGTAATCAATGAAACCAACTGTAGCAGAGAATCAACTGCCTACAGCTTATAGAGTCTGAGCTAAAACAGTGTGACGCTTACTTTACCTTGTGACCCGGTGACCAAAAGAGCCAGTGGGGGAAAAATATGTAGGAATTTCTATTAATAAAGCCATTTGAAAAAAAAAAAAAACTTAAATGCAATTTTTTTAAAGTAAATTTGGTTGTTCCCTGTCACACTGAATGTTTGCACAGATACAGTTGTTGGGCTCTCATATGGAAGACCCAGGTTCGACCCCCGGTAAGGTGAAGGAGTTTTTCTGTCAGTGGCAAAATTAAACATCCTAACCTGTACGGTGCATGGTGACATTGCTAGCCATGCAGCCCTAAATCCACAGGCTCACAACCTTCTGTTTACACCGCCCTAAAAAGTGGTACATACAGGCTGTGGTGACAGCAGATGCAATGAATTGTGTTAGCTAGACATCCCGTAAACACGTCTCTCTATAGCTAGTCGGGAAAGTGGCTTTTATGGGGAAATGGCACCTACAGGAAGTGTCGGTTGAATGGTTTCTCGGGGCAAAAGGGTTAAGGGCTTCCATCTTTCCTGTCATAATCCTCATCATCATCATGTTGTGTCATGTTTATGTCACATAGGGCTCACAGTCAGTTCCTGCATGCCATTTTGTCTGCAGTTATTTTGAGATCATATATTGGGTTTACCTTATATGTTGTGTCAAGGTCAGATAAGACTGAGCTACTATGTTAATGCCGAATGTTAGGTGGCATATGCTAAATGTGATATCCCATGGCTTTGGGTAAAGGAATGCATTGGGGAGGATATATGGGGGAGTGCTTAACACTCTTGACATCCTTAATATTGACAGGTTATAAAACAGTGGCATGGTTATTGTAATTTCTATCACACTTTAGAGGTTTTCATTTTTTTTCTTTCTTCCTTTTGTGTCTCACTGATACCCGGTTGTAGCCCAGTGTCGTGGTTTTCTGTATTTGTCTTGCCATTCTCTGGTGGCTTGAGTGATTGATTTGTTCATCTTTTTGCAGGTTTCAGCTGCACCATTCATCCATCTCTTTCTTGGTCTTCCTCTCGCCTTCCTCTCAGATGTTGATCTGTAAAAAGTCTCATATGCAGTCCTATGATAATTCAATTTTTCTTGAGTAGTAGCAGTCAAATACACCAATGCCGGCTTGCTAGCCCCGTTGTGTGGTGGGGCAAGAACAAATCTGACCTGGTTGGTGTTCGTCTCCTTCCAGGCCAGCCATTGCCCTGTTAGCCTGAAACCTTGCAGCTTAAGTTTTCCGACGTGCACAATGAGCCGGTGTGGTTGACCTGGGCTCTATGGGTCATTGGCCGGCTGCTTAAATTTCACTTTCCATCTCTCCAAAGAGAAGCTAGCCAATCTTAACACTGCTGGCTGCAGTGCCGAGCATCTGAGCACGCCCTTACACACCCTAATTTTCATTAAATATGGTTAAAACTGTACATAATATTCTCAGGCAGATGTCAGCTAATTTATTGATAGATATAGTGATATATGTTGAAAGCATGGGCATGTTTGTAAACTCCTCTGCAGGAGAGTCAGCGTGTTGAGTATGACAACAACAGGGAGCAGCTGATTCATCAACACAGTATTGAGAAGGATGAACTGACGAGCACGTTTGAACATCAGAAGGAGGAGTTGCTACAGGAGCTGGCTTGTTTGCAGCGGGACAGGGATGATGCCTTGCTGGTGTCCGAGAATGATAAACAGCAGGTTTGGTGGACAGTGTTTTTTTTAAAACTGTGTTTGAATATTTGATTGATCAAACATTTTTTGTTTAAATTATTTGGTTGTTTGATTGGCTGGATTTGGTTTTGATTGGTTGGTTATTTGATTGAGTGGTTGATAGTTTAGTAAATTTTTAAAAAATTTTTTAAATTTTTTTTTAAGGATTGTTTAATTGACTGATTGTTAGTTCGTTGCTTAATTGATTGGTTGTTGTTGTTTTTTTTTTTTTTTTTTTTACTGGTTGTTTTTTTTTAAATTATTAATTGTTTCATTGATGTGATTGTTTTTATTGGTTTTATAAATTAATTAATTAATTATTTTATTGATTGTTAATATTTTGATTCGGGTCTCCATGGCAAAGTTGTTAAGCCATCTGCCCCTACACCCTTTAACAGTCTTCATTATTTCTAAATACAAATGTAGGTCATTTCCTTGATGGAGCAAGAAAAGGCAGCACTGCAAGAGAAAAATACATCTCTGACTGCAGAGCTCAACCAATTAAATCTTGAGTTTGAACGTCTAAAGCGGGAGTCCCAGTTGCAGCAGGAGCAGAATCGAACCAGCATCAATTCTCTTCAGAGTGAGCTGAGAAATATCAGAACTCAGTTTGAAGAAACCATGTGAGAAAATGTGTTTTATTGTTGTTCTTTTTATCTTTTTTCATATTCAGTTCTTTTTTTTTTTTTTCTGCCTTTCATCTCAAATTGGAACTTAGACCCTCAGACAACCTTTTCTACCAACATGAGTTTGGCATGCCCATTTTAGGAGGAAAATAAATATATATCATTTTTTTTTCCCATGTGAAGGACAATATATTTTCCCCAGAGTTTTGAAGTTTAAATTTTTTGGGGGGATTCCAAAATGTGTCGGTAATGATTTTATTTTCGTCCCAGTCAGAAAAAATCCACAACTTTACAGTTTGTGCACCATGCCGAAATTCTCTTTGTGTGATTTCCTTTTTTTTTCTGTCATTGGCCTAAAACATATTATATCTGCTATGTTGTTTTTTATATGAATTTCACTTTTTTTAACCCCTCAGTGATTCATGAAGTTGAGTTTTCAGTGTTATTTTTCCTAGACCAAATGTTTTACTTTAAGGGTTAAGATTAAAGCCAAGCGGATTGACTTAATTGCACTGGGTGTCACCCGATATGGCGCGGTCTCTCTCAGAAGAACAGCTAGCCGACTGCCAAGAGCATCGCACAAAGCGTGAACACTGTAACTCTGGTGACAGTCTTGAAATATCTCCTTAAAAACTGCACCCGTGAACAAATGAGGAAGCCGTGGAACGAACCCATGACCTTTAAAGCTTGAGGTGAGCGGCTTGATCACTTTGCCACAGTCTGTTAGAGGATATTGGCAGTGTTTATTGAGGTGTCTATTTAATTCAGACTAAACCAGTAATTTACAGTATTATGAAAAGATCCAAAACCAGACGAAAAGTAGACTAGCAAGCCTCACAGTGTAGCAAAACACAACGGAAAGTGAACGTTGTGGCTACAGAGCCTTCATCAGCACATTACATAGATCAACAAAACCACAGACACTTAAAATTACTAAACTATTTCTGATAGCAGCCACTTTGTTATACAGCCTCTGAATGGAAGATTTGTGAAACTGCCATGAGTTTATAGCGTAAGACTGCAAAGGGCTACGACTGGACGATGTTGGGTGAAACTGTTGACAGTTATGTCCCTAGACATATTTCTACCAAGGGTAAAAGTAAAGTGGTTTTCAAGAGACTTACTGACTCTTGTCGCTGGAGAGACTAGATTTAATGACTGTCACCTCCAAGTCACAGACACCTTGGTGATCATCAGAATTTAAGTACAACAGTACTAGTTTGTGGGACACCATTCTGCACGTTCAGAAGATGTTGTCTGAACCTGTCGGCTTGTTGCAGCCCCATTTTGCTGGTGTATTTTATGCCACTTCTTTTGCAGATAATAGCCTAAAATAAATAAGATCACTTATTTGCAATGTCTCACCCAGGGAAAGCCATGACCGTGAGGTGAAGGATTTAACTGCCCAGGTCAGGGAAATCAGCAAACACAGGGAAGCTGCACTAAGGGAGATTTCAGAACTGAAGACACAGCTGACTGTGGTGGAAGAGACTAGGGACACCATCAGGAGGGACCTCATCGAGGCCAACAGAGCAGTTAGAGAAGGTGACCCAAAGCTGTGCTATTTCAGTGTGAATGTCCATATTTCTAGTTGAGTTTTCATATTCTAGTTGAATTTTCATAGTTTTAGACTAACTTTCCATAGTTCTAGGTGAACTTCCATAGTTTTAGTTCAATTTCCATAGTTGTAATTTTTTTTTGTTAATTTGCTAGAATTTTATATATGTAATTTTTTTTGTTAATTTGCTAGAATTTTATATACTTGTTGAATGTGAATTTTCAATAGTCCTACTTTATTTGTTAGTTTCCTAGTATTTTATATCCTTGACCAGTGTGAATTTCAATAGTCCTATGTTTTCTTTGTTCATTTTCTAGGGTTTTAAATACTTGATTCAGTGTGAATGTATATAGTTCTAATGTGTGTCTTTGTTAACTCTTTCAGTCCCAAGCAACACCTGTTGTGTGAATGGCTTTTCCATTATTTTACTCATATCATAATTCTCTCTCTCTCTCTCTCTCTCTCTCTCTCTCTCTCTCTCTCTCTCTCTCTCTCTCTCTCTCTCTCTCTCTCTCTCTCTCTCTCTCTCTCTCTCTCTCTCTCTCTTTATTTCTCTCTCTCTTTATTTCTCTCTCCCTCCCTCCCCCTCCTTCCCTCCTCTCTCTCTCTCTCTCTCTCTCTCTCTCTCTCTCTCTCTCTCTTCTCTCTCTCTCTTTTTTTTCTGGGTGCAGTGGAATGTGGAGAACATCGAACAGTTGTTGAAAAAGTCGTGTAACTAAAATATCAATGAGAATTGTCATGAGAAGAATAAGGTGCAGAATTAAACCAGGAATTAGAGAACAGCAGTGTGGTTTTGTTAAAGGTAAAGGCACACAAAAAGCCATATTTATCTTGAGAACACTTTCAGAAAGAAGGATTGACATAAATAGAGATCTGTATTTGTGCTTTATTGATTACACTAAAGCATTTGATAAAGTGAAACATGAGAAAATTATTAGAATTTTAGAAACTTTAAACTTTGATGTTTAAGATCTAAGAATAATAAAAAAAACATAGTCTGGCAACAAGAAGCAGCCGTAAGGACTGACAACCAAGTTGAAACTTTTCAAAACATTAAACAGGGCGTTAGACAGGGATATGTACAATCACCAGATTTATTCAATTTGTACAGCGAAATAATAATTAGATCCATACATGGAATATTGGTTGGTGGGCATATTGTTAACAATCTGTGATATGCTGACGATATAGTTTTGATCACTGAAAGTGAAACACAACTGCAATAAATGATAAATATAATAGTTACGGAAAGTTAAAACAAGGATCTTAGTTTCAACAGCAGAAAAACAGAAGAAATGGTAATTACAATGAAAACTGAACTCTCATATTCAGCATAAAAGTAAATGGGACAAATCTCCAGCAAGTTGATATGTTTACTTGGGTACCCTGATAACATCAGTTGGAAGATGTGTTAAAGAAGTTAAATGTCGAATAGCTCAAGCAAAGGCAGCATTTTACAAAATAAAGAATATTTTATGCAATCTTTCTTTGTTAGTTGAGACAACAAGAATTCTTAAAAGCAATATCAATCCGATCTTAACTCTACCAGACCGCTTACCGCTTTTACTGTAATTTTCTAATCTGCCGCTAAACAGCTGTTCCTAATTTTTGGTACTTTGCTACTAAGTGATAAAACGCGTCACAAACTAAAAATAACCAACCATCGTGATCAGACCTCGTGGTGAAGCATTACGAATGGCTTCCCACGTTTGTTTGGATTTACTTTGTGTGGTTTAACGTGAAAAAATTATGAAAATTCACAATGAAACGAGCGGCTTATGAACCAAGCACTTTGACAGGAAAGTGAAGTAGGTCTTGTCTTTTCACAGTCCAACAGGTGATCGATACTTTGGTTGATTCAGGTAGGATAATCTGTGTCAGAATTGATTTAAAGCACACAAGACAGAAGATTACCAACGCCACATGGCATGGACTTTGAGAAGAAGAAGAAGAAAAAGATGATGTTCTGTGTTGTATCCACATGCATCTACTCTCTGAGAAACCACCTGATTACTGTGTTTTATATGTATGTTTTGTGTTGTATCCACATGCATCCACTCACAGAGAAACCACTGTGTTAATATAATTGGTATGTGTGGTTATACTGTGTTGAATCCACACACAGGTGAAGAGGTCAAAGAACAACTACGTCGGGAGATTGTGGAACTCAAGCGAGCCCTTGGGGAGGAAGCTAGGGAGAAAGACCTCATTAGAATAAATGCAGATGAGCTCAGGAATAAAGTGAAGAAACTTGAAGGAGAAAAGAATGAGATGAGTCGGGTCATTCAAGAAGCCAGACAGAGAATTGGAGGTATTCGAATTTGTTTTTGTTGTATCTCACAATGACTAAAGAAATTTGAAACTTTTGAACTTATTGTTGAATGTTGAATTAAGAACAGACATCATAGTACTTGGGACACCCCATAAGTGCTCTGTCCCCATCTTCAGCAGCAAACGAAGAGTTCCAGTTCCAATGGCAGCAGTAACTGTCTGATTGTATATCTGTCTCACCTTTCCCTTGTGTGTTGAACATTGTCCATTTGAACTGAAATGTTACAGAAATCCATAGAATACTTTGAATATAAAGGAAACAATAGAGACTTTCTGCAAAAGTGCAATATCAAAGATACATTGTTGAGTTGCTGCCCTTGGCTGCGACATCTTTTCTGGCTAGTATTTATTTCATGTGTTCACACATGTGTCAGAGCTTCAACTGGCCAGAAATTTGTGTGGATTTCTCTCAGAGATATCTCTGTTAAATGATTTTTGTGTATACTTTTGTCTTTTATTTAATGTGCTGATGAAGGCTTTCTAGCCGCAGTGTTCACTTGTCATTCCCAGGGGCTAAAACACATATGCATCAAGTGACATATCCCATGACTTCATTATTTAGAGAGCAGGTTACTGAATAAAAGGCTATATATCAGCATGGGCTGTTTTACAACCAGAAGTGACTAGATTTACCTTTCTTTGGGCGATATATCATCATTTATGGGGCTGTTACAACCAGAAATGACTAGATTTACCTTTCTTTGGGCGATATATCATCATTTATGGGGCTGTGTCACAACCAGAAGTGACTAGATTTAGCTTTCTTTGGGCAATATATCAGCATTTATGGAGCTGTGTCACAACCAGAAGTGACTAGATTTACCTTTCTTTGGGCGATATATCATCATTTATGGAGCTGTGTCACAACCAGAAGTGTCTAGATTTACCTTTCTTAGGGCGATATATCATCATTTATGGGGCTGTGTCACAACCAGAAGTGTCTAGATTTACCTTTCTTTGGGCAATATATCAGCATTTATGGGGCTGTGTCACAACCAGAAGTGACTAGATTTACCTTTCTTTGGGTGATATATCAGCATGGGCTGTGTCACAACCAGAAGTGTCTAGATTTAGCTTTCTTTGGGTGATATATCAGCATTTATGGGGCTGTGTCACAACCAGAAGTGATTAGATTTAGCTTTCTTTGGGTGATATATCAGCATTTATGGGGCTGTGTCACAACCAGAAGTGACTAGATTTAACCTTCTTGGGGTGACAAGGTTAAAGGCATGGTTACTGTAAGAAGAGGCAGGGTTTGACCAGCAGTAAGGCTAGCACAGGATACTAAATACTCCTTGGGCATGAGTATATGGGATGCCGGGAAATTTGTTTTATTTGTTTTACTCGACTGACACCTCCAATAAAATTGACGTCTGCAGTTAGCCTTGGTATGCCAAGGGGATTAGAACACAGAAAAAAGTCACCTTTTTCTTCTTCTTCGTATTTACTGGGTGTAACTTCCATCGGAAAGTTCTGTTTGTTTATCTACTTCTGGGAATAACTCTTGTTCCAGAGCCTGAGTTTCGCATGGACCTCCATTTTACAGATCTGGGTTATTTGTATGCAGACTGTCGGTTCCTTGCCTCTCAGGAAGATACACCCTGACTTTCTAAGGAAACCCCTAATTAGTCAACTCTTATGACATGGGTATCGAGGCAGTAGGTCTGTTCTTTTCTCCCCCTAAAATAATAAAAATATTAGAACCCACGCAGGTATTCTTTAAATTCAGGAACATGATTATTTCACAGATTTAAAAAAAAAAAAAGTAACCTTGTGTTTTTGTCTCCAGTTTTGAATGAGCAGAAGGCGGGAGTTCAACAGGAAGCTGCAGAATTGCGTAACAACCTGCGTGAGGTAGAGAAAGCACGACTTGAGGCTCGTCGGGAATTGCAGGAGTTGCGCAGACAGGTATGACTATTCTTTGCATTATACACAGCGCATCCCCCCCCCCCCTTTCCCTGAAACTGATTGAGCATGCACAAAGTATGAGCTCATAGATCCAGCATTGATCTCCAGGCTTCTCCAAAAAATTGGCTTAATCAACTGAACTAAACCTTCAAGAGAATAAATCTGTGAACATCAAAGCATGTTTCTAATACGAGACATCCCCCCCCCCCCCCCCCCACCCTGCCCACCTTTCCTCCCCGATCCCCACCTCATTATTGAGAGTTAAAGCATTTTCTCTAAGTGAGAAAACTATTTTATTTGGTTCTCTTATCCATGAGGACATATGGTCAATTGCAGTGTGGCCATACCACATGGGTGTAGAGTAGTGATGGTAGTTAAAGTGACAGTTTAGCAAGTAGTAGTGAGAACATTTGTGTAAGTGCATTAACTCTGATTATTATAATAGAAGTAGATGATGCTGACAGAACTGTGTCACTGTGTCTTTTTCTTTACAACTTGAAAGTGTCCTGAGACAGCCTGTTGTTGTGGAGTCTGTGATCAAGAGAGTCTGAGAGGTCACAGCAGAATATTATACCTTCGCCCGGCTTAGTAGTGCAGATCATCATACCATTACATCATAATGAGAGGCGAAGGGAAGATCAGGGAATGAGAGGAAAACTGAACTGGCTGCTAGAGAGGAGAAAGTACGTCAGAGCAGCTGAGGCGACCTTGTTGTACACATGTGCTCTGACCTTGTTCCCGCCTCTGGACCCGTGACAGCTGTCTTTGTGTGTAATTTGTGTGTCTTTGTCCGATAAGATCCGGTAATACGTGCAGCAGGAGAAAATCAACCCTGAGCCTCATGAACTCAGGTGGGCCAACTCTCTGAAAATGTCTAGGAGCTTGTGGGCCGAAACATTTGTCGACGAGAGATTACTTCTACTGATGATTTGTAGACTCCTGTTGTACATGCTCCCCTGTGGAGTTTCTTATTATAGACTTTTTCTCTCGTGACTTCATTTCGGATTTTATCTTTTATAGTCACCCTGCTGTCTTTCTCAGCCATATTTTATTGTATAGGTAAAAATGCTGGATGGCGAACGCAGTAAACTGGACAAAGAAGTTACAGAGTTGCAGACTCGTGTGGCTAAGGATGAAGAGAAGGAGGAGGAAGCCAGAAAAACATCCTTTGACCTGAAGCAGAAGGTAGGTGGATATTTTCTTATTTCTGTGTGCTTCATATTTTTTAATGCATTTTTCCAATTGTTAAATTTACATATTTACTTTGTACAGCCTTACGTATAGGTAGTTTATGAAGTGTTGGTTATAATATTGTTTATGTTACTCATGTATGCTCCTCTGGGACTCCTTTTGGAGGAGGTGACTAATTGGGATATTTCCTTCAAATTTGGAGTGCATCAGCCTGAGAGGCCAGGAACCATCAGTCTGCATACACTTTAACTAAATCTGTAAAACAAATGTGCATGAAAAATTCTGGATCAAGACCAAAGTCTAGGAGTGGATGAATAACCAGAACGTTCTGCTGGAGTTTACAGCTGTGAACGCTAAGAAGAAGATATTGGTTTATATACGGCTCTGCCTGTAATGAGTGGAAGGCTTAATATACGGAAGTGAGGTTAAGCAGTCATGTTTCTTGAGCCCTATGTATCTGCTCTACATTTATGAAAGCATCCTTGGATGCTGGTTAATGCCCATGCTCTGACCCTGCCTTTCCTTCAGGATCAACAAGACTGCAGGTAGCTGTCCCGAACGGGTTCTCTAGGGACACCCCTAGTGGATCAATGGTTGACAAATGTCCCACGAAACTAGCCTGGACAGCTTACCCAGATAACAAATAACCGAAGAAGTCAGATATGTTGGATGAAAGACATAAATATCACAGGCACAAGGCATTTGCATCACTGAAACAAACAGTCAAAATAAAGACGTTGTTTATATATTCTTTCTTGCTTGAATAAAAGCTATGGTAGTAACCGTGGTATTATCGTTGAACTTTTTTTCTCTGCATTTTAGGTTGTTGAGACAGAAGCCTCTCGGGAAGCACTGCGCAAGGACCTGGCAAATCTGCAGCGTAAAATGGCAGAGTTGATTGATGAAGCAAGGCTCAAGGAGAGGGATTACCAACTGGCCCTCGAGGACAGCCGCAGATCTGAGCGGAAACTGGAAGACAACCGACGCAACCTGGAGATATCTCTAGAAAACAGCAGCGCCGAAGCAGCAGAGCTCAGGGTAAACCAGTGATGTTTGCACCATGCTTGCTACCTTATGTTCCAAATGTTTATCATTTACTTTGTTGATTAGTTAGTTTTTTGTTTTAGGAGAATTTATAATAATGCTGAAGGTTTCAGTTACAGTATCAGACACGAATATTGTATTCATGCAACACTCGGGTTGTGGAACAAGACTGAAGTCCAAAGGTGGACGAACAACCAAAACTTTCCGCCAGAGTTTACAGCTGGTGAAGAATAATTTTATTCATAAGCTCCATAAAACTTTAGTAATTAAATATTAATTGTAACTTCATTTTTAAATCTGTGAAAAATGGTATTAATAAAAAGCTATTGACAAAGTGTGAAACTAATAATAATTATAAGCTGTTAACAACAGATTAAAGTACAGTAAAGCACCATTTTTACGCCATTGTACGCCATAATTGATCATATTCTATTAACAACAGCCAAAATTATGATAATATTTGTAATACATTAACAGTAATTGAAACTGGTATTAATTCTAAGTATTGAAAACAGTTGAAACTGAGTGGCACTGAGGGACGGGTCAGTGCCCTGGAGGCTGCCTTGGCTCGCCTGGACAGCATCAAGCGAGAATTAGAATTCAAGCTCAGCAGTATTGTCTCCACCTTACGCCGCACTGTTGGGTTCCGTATGGACCGGTCGCGCTCCAAGAGTCCCGGCATTTTGAAGTCACGAAGCCCATCGCCTCGACGCTCAAGGCCTACCTCACCATCTAAAGGTGAATATAAAGATCATTTATCATGTCAGCTGATGTTTAATTTGTTTTTGTTTTTTTGTTAGCTATAGTTTTCGTAGCAGCAGCAGAAATAGTAGGGGACGTCACCACAGTTGCAGCAGTAATAGTAGAAATAATAGATTCTACAGTAGCAGTAGTATTAGTAGAAGTAGAAATCTAGTAGTGGCATTAGTTATAGAAGTAGTAGTAGAAGTCCAAAAACCGCAATTACTGCCCACATGTATTTTTGCTGTGTAAGCGAGAAGTGGGTGGAGGTTTAGGGCCACATGGCTAGTGCTGTCACCACAGACTGGGTAAGTTCTGATTTTTTTTTTCAAGTCCACAACCTTACCCAGCATTTAAAACTTTCAGTTAAGGGCCCAGTGTTCTTAACCATTCGGCAAGCCTCTTCTGTAGTACAAATAATTGTAGTAATATTAATAGAAGAATTTCAATAGCGGTGGTAGTCAAAATATCAGCATAAGTTGCAGTGATAATAGTAATAAAAGAAGTGAGTATGATGCAGAAAAATAGTAGTAGAAGTGGTTATAGTAGTATTAATAGAATTAGGAGTGGTCTTGGTAGTAGTACAAGTGGTAGTAGAAATACCAGTAGTAGTGTTAAAAATAGTATTAGTAGAAATGATAATGGTAGTAGATGTAGCAGCATTAGTACACATAATTATAGTCCTTAAATTGAGAAATGATACTATCATACAGTATGCAGGAACAACACCCTGCACCAGATTCATCGAGATCAGATCAGATGGTTTGGTCTCTCATTAGAATGCCAACACAGGGGCTACAATGAAAAGATATGATATGAAAGCAAGATGTCACGCTAGGAGAAGATGACAGACTGAAAACATTAAAGACCTTATGCATCAACACAGAATGACAGTAGCCGTTGCTACTCATCAAGCAATGGATCACAAACTGTTCCTCCCCATGGTGCTTTACAGCAAAAGTGAAAATTGATGATGATGATGATGATGAATAGTCATTGTTTCATTAGAAGTACAAGCATATTCTTGATGATGATTATAAGTTTGTTTGATAATTAATTTCCTCAAAACATTGCTAGTCATGGGTTGTTAGCATCCTTTGAATATTTTTGCCAGTGTATTTGGGTGTGTTGGGAAATTAATAGATGGACAGACTGGCTGATTCTGCAGCACGGTGGTAAATTGATGCATGACAAGCTAGATGTGGTCAGCATCCATTGGGAGTGAATGAACAGTGCAGAAGCACAGTTAAATCATCATGGTTTGAACAGTATTGTGCAGCGTGCAGTAACTAGGGGATCTGGCCAACACTCGGCACTCAGAGGCGAGGCAAGATGGACGTACAGTTAGATTGCTTCTGATGCCATCAGAATTGGAACTCTGCGCTAGCTGCTGAATGTGGGGATAGAAAACTTATGGGAATATCCTAAGAGCTGTAATATTGGCTCAACTCAACTCAAAACATCAGTAACATGTAGTTAATTTCTTTGTCATTGCTCCTGCAAGAATTCTCCTAAACAGATTTTCTAGAACCTTCTCACAAATCTGTTCTCTGATTCCAGGCTTTGACAACACCTATGCTACGACCACAGAAGGAAGAGGTAGTCCAATCCCACGAACAGGGTCTCCTCTTCGAAATGGAAGCCCATTTAGGAGCCGCAATCGCAGCAGTAGTCCTGGCCGAGTTGACTGCACTGACGTCGATATTGAGGCAGTTCGAGCGGCGCTACGTGACTTTGTCTCCCAGCTAGCTTCTGCAGAAAGGGAAAGGGTGAATAGAAAATTTTTTTTTTAATTATGCTATTCTTCTTCTTCTTCTTCTTCTTCTTCTTCTTCTTCTTCTTCTTCTTCTTCTTCTTCTTCTTCTTCTTCTTCTTAGCATTCACTGGCTGTTAAACTGTGGCGAATATTTTTAATTTTTCCTTCCCATCCAAATGTTAATCTTGTTCCAGGACCTAAGTTTTCTATGCACATCTGTTTTTACAGATCAGGCTTATTTACATGTTCATGATCCTTCGCCTCTCAGACAAATGCACTCTGACCTTAAAGGAAACATCCCTAATTAGTTGCCCTTTACAACTTGCCTGTTAAGGGGCAGTGAGTTCATCCCGAGCATATGAAACCAAGATTGTAAAAAGTGGTAAATACGAGCAGTAAAGACAGCTTTATAGTTGAATGGGGTGTCTGGGATCTGCTTTGGTTGGAGCAACTGAATATGCAGCCATGACCAGACTGCAAAAACCCAGTCAAAATAGGTGAAGCCAGTCAAGCACTCATTTGCTTCTTATTCTTTTTCTTCAACTTCTTTTAAAAATACAATGGTTGTGTGAAAGGTGGGTGTTTGGAAGTGCAGAATGTAAGAGTGTCCTGCATGCCCTATTAGGGACCCTTTAAAAATAAAGATTGTTCCATTCATTTGTTCTTCTTCTCTAGTCCTGTTCTGCCTTTTGGTGTCATGTTCTGAAGAAGCATTGGTTTGTGCTTGTAGATGCTCGTGTTTACGGCCTCAGATATTCCATTAATCTATTGCTTGCAAACCATTTGATCTGTCATCTCTTGATGAAGTTTGGTACTGGTTCCATCAGAACTTATTTCCTGATATCGTCATTTCTGGTCCTATCTCTTCTAGTTACATTTAGGATTCACCATAGACATTTCATTTCTGTGGTTTCATCCACACAGTTAACCCGGTCACCAAATGATAAATGAAGTGGGATTTTTCGGCTGAAAGGTGCAAATATGGCAGCCTTGATGTAAACAGGCACAGAGCGATTACATCACTCGGATGAATGAAAAGAGGAAGATTTCTGTTGTTCCAGTTTTTCTTTTCCTTTGTTAATATCTGCGTTTGCACCGATAACACAATGTTGATAAAAATACTGTTTTGAATAGTCCTCTATTGGTATCAGTTGTTAGTGCTATTAAAGAAGAATACTTAATAAGCATAACCAGAACTGTTGTTGTAAGCCATTTCACACTGAGGGATGTCTACTGAGGAATAGTACTTATCTGTTGAATGGTTCTATGTGCAATGAGAATGATTCGTCTTCTTCTTCTTTTGCCCTTTATCCACCATTGGACTATAAGCCCCCAACTAACTCTGGCCATTTTGTCCTGTCCTTTGCCAATTCATGAAGATCCTGAGTAGCCTCAGCATCTTATTCACTCTGCCTTAAATTATTTTCACCTTTGGGGTGGATGGTCTCCTTTTATTTCTTTGGCTGAATAAAATGATTATGCCTTAGGAATTCATGAACAATAAATTGGATGAATTGAAGAACAGTGAAGAAATAATAGAAATTTCCTTGGTGGGGTTCCAGGGCCACAATGTGAGGAAAACAAGAATAGGCCCTCTGCCTTCCCATCAAGCATGTTGAAAGCGTTGACTAAGTGGTGGCTTCCTTCGAGTCTAGAGTGCATCTGCCTGAGAGGCAATGAACCAACAATCTGCATGCAAGTAAGCTAGATCTGTAAAATGGATGTGCACGCAATACTCAGGTTCTGGAACAAGACTAAAGTCCAGAGGTGGGTGAACAACCAGAACTTTCCATCAGAGTTTATAGCCGGTGAATGTGAAGAAGAAAAGAATATAAGAGTATTGTCTGGAACAATTGATTATATCAACAGCTATAAGACAAAGAAGTTAGCGACATATTGGACACATCCTGAGGTGAAGGAAACGGAGAATTGCTAGATACTTAAATGGGAGTCAAACAGATTGAGAAAACTGAGATGTTCTAAAGAAACCCTAAGATGAGTTAAGCTGAGTCAAGAATTGACATCACAGCACTCTGGGCATTCCCATGCATGCTCTGTCCTGATCTTCAGCAGCCAGTGCAGAGTTCCAGTACTGACGGTACCAGTCACAATCTGGTTATATGTCTGTCTTGCCTTTTCTATGAGTGTAGTGAGCCCGGCTATGCTCTCTGGTTACACCCAGGTGCCTCATTTTCTCCAGGCACCCTAAGATGAATATCAAAGCAATATGAATTTGAACAAAGAAGACACAAACAATAAACTGCACAATTGATTGCCTGACATATTTCACTGTATCTCATCAGGTGCATACTGTAGTAACAATGACTACGAGCAATCGTACATTACTGAGATTTGTGGAAGTGACCGTGATAAATCAGTTGAGTCCTGAATTTGCAGACAAAAGAACATGCTCTTTACCTTGCATTTACCCTGATAAAACAGTTTTTTTTTTTTTATGTAGTCTTTTTTTGTGTGTTTCAGTTTGTAGGATTCATTTGTTTGCTTCATTTTAATCAAATGTTGCTGTAGTTTGCAGCTGACAAGATACAGCGAAATTTGCCCGACAATAAATTGTGCAATCTGTTGTTGCAACTAAGATGAATGTTGATGAGAGAGGCCAAAGATGATGGACTGGATTCTATCTATGACATTGAAACAATTGCACAGGAAAGAACAGAGTAGACAAATGAACTGAGTGCTATGTGACATATTACGGCACACTAGGGTGATCATGACAGTGTCGATTGATTTGTTGACTAACTGTTTTGCTTACAATAAAGATAAAAAATATTATCTTCTATATTTATCTTTCGAGGAGCGGCTGGCGATATGGCTAAGAATTCAGAGCTCTTATATGGGAGACCCAGGTTTAATTCCTCTTTAAGGTTGAGGGAATTTTTCTCTCTCAAAAATAAAATACTAGCCTGCATAGTCTGTGGCATTCAGTACAATTCATGTGGCATTCAGTACAACTCATGTGGCATTCAGTACAACCCATATGGCATTCAGTACAACCCATGTGGCATTCAGTACAACCCATGTGGAATTCAGCACAACCTATGTGGCATTTAGTACCACCCATGTGGCATTCAGCACAACCCATGTGGCATTCAGTACAACCCATGTGGCATTCGGTACAACCCAAGTGGCATTCGGTACAACCCATGTGGCATTCAGTACAACCCATGTGGCATTCAGTACAACCCATGTGGCATTCAGCACAACCCATGTGGCATTCAGTACAACCCAAGTGGCATTCAGTACCACCCATGTGGCATTTAGTACAACCCATGTGGCCCTAAATCCTCAGGCTCAAAAACCCTCGCCTACACAGCAACAGTGGTAAATACAGGAAGTAATTAACAGTTTATCTTTCAGGATGATGCTCTGTCCCAAGTTCGCAGTCTGACTACACAGTTGAAAGATCTTGAAGATGAGAGGGAAAGAGTTGAAAACAGACTGAGAATTTTGCAGAAGTCACTAGGAGAGGCAGAGGAAGGTGAGTGAGAAACATTAGGCAGCTATCAAATATGGTTCTGATGGGTCTTCTTGTCTTTCAGGGCTTTAAACTTTGACAGATAGTTCTGGTTGCTTGTCCTCTTCTAGACTTTAATTTTCTTCAAAAATCTGAGTTTTATGTGCACATCTATTTTACAGTTCTGGCTTATTTGTATGCAGACTGTTGGTTCTTCCCTCTCAGGCTGATGGACTCGTTGACTTCAAAGGAAACATCCCTAATTAGTCTACTCTTATGACATACTTTTTAGGGGGTTGTAGGTTAATCCACTGTGGATAGTTCTTATGAGTCAACCACTGGCTATAGCAATAGATAAAGACTGAGAAGGTTCTTGACAGCAATTTGTCATGGTATGGAGCAGTATCGGCACACAAAACTGATTCATACTGTTGGAGATCGCAGGTTGTGGAGAGGCGTTTGCAAGACATTTGGTGATAATGATGATGATGATGGTGTCAGTTATGTGGTTCTTGAAAGGTATTTATTAAAATGGTACATTGAATTTAGAATTATAAATTGAGATGACTTGGTTTGATCCAGCTGCAGTCGATTTGGCAGCATGCCGCTTTGCATTGATTTCGACAATTGTATCGAAAGCTGATCGTTCATAAACCAGTGACAAACTATTAAATGTTAAATTGCATAATAAAACCAAAACAGCCAAAGAATGCTGGGGTTGGTTCTGCAAAGTTTTGTACAGGATATGCTGCTGAAGTTTTACAAAAAAAAATAGAAAACAAACTTTTTAAATAAAAAACATGCCAGTACTCACCATAAAGTGTCTTTTACAGTAGCACTGAAATAGTGGTACCATTGAGTACAAATAAAAGCAATAGACCATGTCGCCTCCCGTAATATTTTAAAGAAAAAAGGTAATGGCCCCGTGGTAATTCTTCCCCCCCCCCCTTCCCCCCCCCCCCCCCAATCATTAAAATACATAATTTTTACACAGATCACTATTTTTAAAACATTTCAAAAAATGTATCAACGGACTATTCAGTAAATATAAACATAGAGAAGTATTAAATAGAATACTCCCCTGGGGCCTAAACACCATATGTGTTGGAAAACTCATGCTGTGACCCCATGACCTCTATCACTGAGGCTTATAGGAAAATTGACTTCAATTTGGCTTTTAAAAAAGCTTTTTTTTTTCAACAGGAAAACACTTCTAAATGCTGTGTTTAGCTAATATATTCATATTGTGACCTAAATATTTGCAGGATTCTTCTTAGACATTAAGTTTTTGTAAGGAGAACATTATTGTATTAATAGATCTGTAGTGTGAAGCTTAATTTATTTTATTACATATGTGATTTGTAGCATTATTTATCTGTCTACATCCCAGACAAATGCGACAAGAAAGTGGTAGGTCTTGGTATTGTGTGTGTGTGTGTGTGTATACACCAGAATCACATGTGTGGTTTGAATGTCACTGTTTTTAATTGAAATAGATATTGTCTTCACCCATACACATTTTATTTTAAATTAAGAAACCAAATCTCATTGAGCCAGATATCTGAAATTATTGTATCTTTTATCATTACTTGTTGAACCTCAGTACTGCCTTGGCTTGACACTTTCCTGTTCTCCTTACAAGCATGTTGGGGGCTGCATGGTCTCGAGGCATAGTGTCCACTTCAAGTGCATTTTTTCACATGGACTTGGACTTCTAGTAATTCCCCCTGGTCTCTGGGTAGTGAGATGCGACGCTGGTGTGCATTGTTGGGCACGTAAAAAATCCCTTGGCAGTTGGAGATCCAAAAGAGTAGCCTAATGCATAATTTTGAGTTAAAAATCTACCCAAAGTATTTCAGGATCCTCGCCGGTGCTACAGAGCATGTGCACTGTGCTGAGCTTTTTCGTACTCAGACTTGAGTTTAAAAAAATAACGGAGCACTTAAGGGTTACTAACCGTGTGCCATGATGTTGATCCGTTGTTCAAACCTCAAACCTAACGCATGTTGTGAAAAGCAACTTAGTAGGGGTGTTTCATTTCAAGTCAGAAGGCATCTGCCTGAGATGTAAGGAACAGATTGGCCAATCAGCCATGTGTACTTGTGGACTGGCACCTGAAACAACAGATCACATCCTTCAAGACTGTCCCAGATTCAACGCTTTCAGGCAAAACCTTTGGCCAAAAGAGACACTTGTGGAAGTCAAACTTTACGGGCCGCTTAGTGAATTACAAAAGACAGTGAAATTCATACTAGAGACAGCTTTGCAGATATAGACAATTTATTTTATGCGAACGAAAGAAGAAGAAGAAGATGTAAGGAACTAACAGTCTGCACACAAATAAGCCAGATCTGTAATTGTGTATGCAAATCTCATGTTCTGGAACAAGAGAAAAGTCCACAAGTTAACGGACAAACAGAGCTGAACTTTCTGCTGTAGTTTGCAGCCAGTGAACATTAAGAAGAGAAAGAGAAGAGACCCAAAGGTATTGGGTTCAAATCCTCAACTTCCTGTGTGGGTTCTGAGCCAGCTCCCATCTTTATAGAAGGGGGTGGGGGATTGACCCACTACCCCTTAACAAGCATAGTGACTAATTAAGATTGTGCTGAAATTGAAAGTGCTGGGTGGAAAGATGCAGATATCACAGCCTATCTTTAAACCACAACACAACATGCCAACCTCCCTTTAAAAGGCGAATGCAGAAGAAGAAGAAAAATTTCGCAGCGAGACCTTATTTTATAATTGAGCTTGCTCCCAGGTCAGTCCAGTCTAAAATGGGTACCAGAGAATGTCCTTGGAAGTAAAGGCAGCTTGTGTGAAGGTGACCGCATCACCTATCGAGAGCCGATTGGTCTATTAAAAAAAAAATATAAGGCAAGCACACATATGTCTGATGCGCTACTGGCACTGGTGGGTTTTAAAAAAAGGTGTGTGTGTATTTTTTTTTTTTAACAGTACTTAGTTGAAGAATGTTGGGCCTTATTGAGCAGTTAGAATTATTGACACTTGTAGGAGAGTGTTGGTAGGAATATTCAAATTATCACTTGTTGCTTGAGGAGCTGCTGTGGTGTAGCAGCTAGATGCTCACCCAGGATGTTTTAGGTTTAACCCTTGTCAAGCCCACATTTTTTTTTCTAAAAAAAATGACCAGGTAAAGTCTTAGGAAGTCCAGACAGCCAGGGGAATGTTGACCACTATATCCACCGAGTGCCATTGGTCTATAAAATATAGATCTGGTACCTAATGACATGGAAGAAGGGTCCTTTACTTTATGTTTTACTACTTGGAGCTAGGCTTCTGGTCTGATTGTGAGGATGCTGGCGTAATGATGACATCTTCTTCTTCTTCTGCACCTGCCCTTAAAGGGTGGTTGGGGATTTGTGTTGCAGTTTACAGCTAGGCTGTGATTTCTGCACATGTCCAATCCAGCTAACCCTTAATTAGTTGTCGGCGTCTGTGGCTTAGGCGTTGTGAACGCGCTTCACATATGGGAGATCTTGGTTTGATTCTTCGGCATTGTAATAGACACTTTTTCTTTATTAACAACAAAGGACCTGTGAAATGCACTGTCTGCGTAAGGTCTCTAAGAACACAAAAGAGAAAAAGGTTACTGTGGGACAGAGTATAGACAATACGACATGTAACTTCATGTTTGTGTTTGATGGACCAAAAAGTGCACCAGCGGTCAGCCAGTTGATTTGACGATATGGGGAAAACCCGAGATGGCTTGAACACTGGTGCAACGTACACGTTTGACCCGAAGCTGAACGGGGAGAGAAGGAGAGCAGTTAGAATGGACGTGTGAGGCTGAAGACATTTAGAGACGTGATTGTATTTTGTTAGGATTTGAAAGATAGGTTGTGTTAACGTTGTCGTCATATGTGTTGGTTAGCTGTTGGTATTCCTCGTGTGCTTATAGTATGCTAAGACATTTGTGTTGGGGTTGTATCATGCTTAGGTAGGTGTTCTTGTCTCTGGGTTATATTAGGGGTTAGCTGCGTTTTTTGCTGGCGGTGACATTGCCCGCTAAGACTTGAACCACTCACCCTGCGTGTGCCACTGAGTCTCGCATGGCGAAGATCGTAGCCTAGTTAGCGCTGCACTACAGGAGGTGGAATTGTGTCCTCTGGTACATCCATGGGAATGGCTCGGGGTGGATAAGTAAATATAAATGCTGCCACTGCGGGAGTTTCTGATAAGGGACTGTCCATAACTGGGGAGGTTGCTTTAGGTTTATTGTTCTTTGTTCATAAAAGATGATGTGTATGCTCCATAGGTGTGTGTTTTGAGTGTGTTCTGGTTTAGTGTGTCTGTCACAGGGCCGTACAACGAGCCCTAGTTAGGTAATATAGATTCCAGGTCCTTGACAGTTACGAACACCAGCATCAGAGAGTAAGTTGTAACAAGACCGTGTTTGACTAATATTTACCTACACAGAATCAAATGTTTCGGCCATCTAGTGAGAATGCAGCCAGACCAAACTGGATCTGAGACTTTCAACAGCAGAACATCGGGGCAGAAAATGAGGGGAAGATCAGGAAAGAGATGGAAAAATGGTATAGCTAATACTCGCAGAAAAAGGTAAACAAATCCATCAGCCAAGCCACCAAGGAAGTGCAGGACAAAACAGAACACCACAGCACTCGGCTACAACTTAGTATCGGAATGATAACAAAAGAAGAAGATGAACACACACAAAAAAGGTAACCCCAGTATGTTTGGAATAAAGTTATCTACAGTAGCTGCTGGATTAGAATAGTCAAGCTCTGTCTGTCTGTCTGCCTGTGAAAGCTTACCTCCTTGAGCAGCTGCCAGCCCAGGCTAAGGATCTGGTCTGCCCTGCCATAACATTGAGTAATCATGTTGTATTTCCTCCTGAAATAAAAAAATATTCAGTATTGGTCTCACAACTCTCTTGGTTTCTGAAGTTGGAGAGGGAAAAGAGAGCCCAGCTATACTGTTCCCATGGAGATAATACTTTGGTACTTTGTGTGTATGTGTGGTAGTGGTGTATTACACCCCTGCCAGCTTGCTAGACCCGACACATGGTGAAGCAAGGAAAAAAACTGACCTGACTGGTGCCCGTCTCCTCTTAGGTTAGCCTGCCTCACAGCTTCAGTTTTCCAGCATCCGCCAAGTGGAGGTGGGGATGACCAGTGTGCTGTATGGGTCACTGGCAGCCTACTTAATTTCTTTTTTTTTTGGGTCCACCTCCCTGAAGAGAAGCTAGCCAACCTTAACACTGCTGGCTGCATGCCAGGTGCTTGAGCCCTTGCACAGTGTTTGTCATAAATTTATAAAATTTAATGTTGTCCTGTCCCATCAGGCAAGCGGGATATTGATGGGCGTCTGGCATCTACTCAGACTGCTCTAATGCTACAGGAAGAGACAATTCGCAGGAATGAACGTGAGCGCAAGGCTTTGGCAGACAAGGTTCTTAATCTGGAACGATCAATTGCTTCTGTGGAGACTGAGAAAAGACAGTTACAGGCAAGAGTGATTGAACTTTTGATGTGAAATTCTTTTCTTATTCTGTTTCTCCTTCCTACTCTTTTACTTCTTCTTTTATTTCTTCTTCTTCTTCTTCTTCTTCTTCTTCATCTTCTTCTTCTTCTTCTCATTATTATTATTATTCATAATCTTCTTCATTCATTTCTGTATTAATAATTTATAAAAGTACTTTGATAGTCCATAGCTATGTGCTCTGAAGACCTGTAGTAGTTCGTGATAATGATCAATTCTTATGATGACAGATTGTTAACCAACAGAAATATCATGTTTTCTCAGGATAAGATATATCAGGTCAGTTAACCACAGAGAAAATCATATTTCCCCAGGATAAGATATCAGATCTATTAACCAACAGATGAATCATATTTCTCAGGAGAAGGTAACATATCTTTTAACAAACAGATAAATCGTATTTCTCAGGATAAGATATCAGATCTTTAACCAACAGATGAACCATATTTCTCAGGAGAAAATAACAGATCTATTAACCAACAGATGAATCATATTTCTCAGGTTTTATTCAACCGAAAAATCCCTAAGAGAGAAGATAGTTCAATTAATTACATCATAAAAATCCTTTTTTCCCTAGGAGAAGATATCAAAGCTCAAACAGAACGAGTCCAAGCTAGAAGAAGACAAGAAACAAATGAGGGCCAGTTTAGATGATGCTGAGAATCGCTGTACCAAAATTGAACTCAGCAGGAGAGCTCTAGAAGGAGAGCTTCAGCGTAGCAAGCTGGCAATCAATGACCGGGAGACAGAAAATCAGGTAAGCTGGTTTTGTTTTACCATGGGGAGCATCCTTTTTTCCCCATGGCACTTCTATTGGCTGAGAGCTGCAGTAGCGTAGTGATTGAGTTCTTGTCTGCTGGCCCTTTAGTCTTGGTTCAAATCTGCATTGAGACTTTCCATCTTCAAAACTGACCTAGGCTTCCAGGTCGGCCCAGCCTAAAAGGGATACCAGGAAATATCCTGGGAAATATAGGTAGCTGTCTTGATTTTTACCACATTACCCACTGTATGCAGATTGTCTGTAAAAAATATGAATAGCGTCAAACTTCAGATGTGCCACTATCATAAAAGGGTTTTTATCTTTTTTTTTTTTTTTTTGATGGAGATAAAAATGTGAACCTCCACATTTTGCGGTAAATGCACTAACCATGAGGCCATCAGTAGCTTCTTTTTTTTTTCCCTTCTCCCTGCCAGTGGTTTTCTTGTGAGAAGGCTATAGTTCTCTATGAAGTCTGTATGCATCACTTGTCTTCTGCTGTTCCATACAGCTTGGTTTCCACTGGAATGCCAACCAGTCAAAACATGGGAACACTCTGCTGCATGAAGATAGCATGTCTGTGTCACCAGTTCAGTATTATGTGGTTCCTGTCCACATGGACAAAATTCTGAATCCCCAATCTTGAATTTCTTTGTACATACAGCTGAAGAGTCTTGTGTCCCATATGCACTCTGAATACAATGGTCTGTTTCTTTCATTTGAGAAGGTTGATTGGTTCTTCAGGCTGAATACAATGGTCTGTTTCTTTCATTTGAGAAGGTTGATTGGTTCTTCAGGCTGAATACAATGGTCTGTTTCTTTCATTTGAGAAGGTTGATTGGTTCTTCAGGCTGAATACAATGGTCTGTTTCTTTCATTTGAGAAGGTTGATTGGTTCTTCAGGCTGAATACAATGGTCTGTTTCTTTCATTTGAGAAGGTTGATTGGTTCTTCAGGCTGAATACAATGGTCTGTTTCTTTCATTTGAGAAGGTTGATTGGTTCTTCAGGCTGAATACAATGGTCTGTTTCTTTCATTTGAGAAGGTTGATTGGTTCTTCAGGCTGAATACAATGGTCTGTTTCTTTCATTTGAGAAGGTTGACTGGTTCTTCAGGCTGAATACAATGGTCTGTTTCTTTCATTTGAGAAGGATGATTGGTTCTTCAGGCTGAATACAATGGTCTGTTTCTTTCATTTGAGAAGGTTGATTGGTTCTTCAGGCTGAATACAATGGTCTGTTTCTTTCATTTGAGAAGGTTGATTGGTTCTTCAGGATTGTGTCCTGGATGGGTAATGCTTCACTGGGTTCTAATGGCTGTATTGATTTGAGTTGTAGTTTCCTCAAAAGCACATCCTGTATCTAACCATTCTGTGTGTATACAATTATGAGCCTAGCATCATATACATGATGTGCCACTGGCTTCAAAGGATACTTTATATATTTTTTATGTATATATATTTTTGTTTTACTTCTATTTTTAGGCAAACTCATGTGGGTTTGTGACTGTATATGTTCATTACTGTGATTGCTAAAAACATGAACAGTATAAGGCTAGCGTGAATGAAAGTTAGTTGTAAAGTAGTTACTGCCATCAGAGTCTGATATGTAAGGCTTTCAAATATTCTGTCGTGAAATACAAAAGGCAAGTAAAGCTGTCTTCTTCTTCTTCTTCTTCTTCTCCTCCTCCTCCTCCTCCTCCTCCTTCTTCTTCTTCTTCTTCTTCTTCTTCTTCTCTTTCTTCTCCTTCTTCTCATTCTTTCTCATCCTATTCTTCTTCTTCTCCTCCCTATTCACCTTGTACTTTTTTTTCTGCTTCTTGTTTTTTCTTTCTCCTACTAAGCCTCTTGTTTTTCTTCTTCGCTTTCTCTAGTTACTTGATCGGAGTGTTGGGGAGAGATGTAAGGATTTTCTGTGAAGATTTTCTGTGAACTGTTTCTTATGCATTATATAAGTTAGTCTGCATTCGTTAAAGAATGTTCTTGATGCCATTATTCCCTATTTACATGGTCTACCCCTTGCTGTCTGTAATTATATTTCTTCAGCGTGGCTCTCAGTGACATTTGGTACCAATGTATTCGCGTCAGATCATCACACCATTGTAACTGTTGCTCTTTAATGAATTTGCGTGAAGGTTTAAATACTCGTTTATAACTTTCATAGCATTAGGAAATTTGCAGACATCAAAAGAAATTAGGCCTTGTGGCAAACTTAGAATTTTTAATTTTAATGTCAAATCAGTATTTTTGTTTGGAGCAGAAGCAAGAAGGATGGCTAATAGTTACTTGTAAAATAAATTCATTTATCAACTGTTAATTCACCAACTAATTCAAACTGCTACTGTGACCATTGGCATTGAAACTTATTGCTAGCTGCTGAAGATGAGACTAGAGTGCTCATTGGAATGTCCTGAGTGCTGGGGTGTCAATTCTTAATCAACTCAACATTAATTAACTTGTACTGCAGCAAATTAGAAGGAATTAAATGGTAGTACACAAGCTATTGTAAAGATCAAATTGACAACAGCTAAACAAGTTACAATGAATCAGTAGGTGAGGAAATTATGCTGAAGCTGGATAGGACACATATTTAGAAAACCTGATAATAATTTAACTAAAGTGACCTTGGACTGGAGAAAAGAAATAAAAGAAGATCTAAAATGACATGGAGAAGAAATTTATAGGCAGAGCTGAATAAGATGGGAAGGATATAGAAGCAGTTACAGGAGATGGATAAGAATAGGATGTCTTTGCTTGAGTTGGTTGAACGTCTATGCTTCAATGGATGACTAGGTAGAAAAAACAGAAAAAACACATGACTGAATAAAATGCACACACTTCCTGCCCTATTGATTTTTCTTGACATTAATCTGGTCACTGTAAAGATCCAGTCTGAATGTGTCTGCTTAGTGTGACTAGTCGACAGGCTTGAATAATTAATCATATGCACGTTCTATTTTCTAGGTCTCATGCGCATTGCTGGCTGAGAAAAGTAGCGATGGATACAAATTAGTCTTTACTGTTTTACCTGTAATTTTAAAACTGACATTAGTTTTAAAATAATGTTAGCAGAAAGCTTAGTTTAGAAATGGTTGTATACTGGATTCAAAATTATTGTTTAAATCAGGTTGATAACCTCTAAGCGGTGAACAATTTTATGATAAGACTGATGTGGGTAATTTTTCTCTTGGATAAGTTTGATGGTGATGCAAAACAGACAGAGCATTAATATCTAGTGAGACTAATTCGGTGAGGAGGGATCAGAGGGGCTGGATGGCCCTCAGCACGTGGGGGTGGGGGAGGTTGTCACAGCATGGAAACTCTTAGCTGGCTGCTGAGGAAGTGAATGGAGCACTTGTGGGAATGTCCCAAGTGCAGTGATGTCATTTCTTGATTGATTAATTAATTCAATCATTCATTCACTCAAATAATTTTTGTATGAGCCATATGCTTTGTTTGAGCTTTTCTCAACATTTGTTACCTGGTCAGAACCTGGTGATTCTTCAACTAGGTCTTTCAGTAGATGCCTGATTTATTTGCAGCATGTAAAAGGGAGGAATAGAGTGGTCAACGCACATCGTAAAGCTATAATGCATACATGAAATTATTAGATTTTATGTGGCAGCTGTTCTGCGGGTATTCTAGACATTATGTTTCACAAGTGCAATGTATGTGCCAATAATTTAGAGGTATGAAGAAGTTGTAGTTTAATTAACAGTAGTAAATCGGGTTATGAGTAACATTTTACTTTTAAGAAATACATTCTTATGTTTAATTTTGTTAGAAACAAATCTTGACTTTTAGAGTTCTCTTTAAAAAAAATTGATTTGTAGTTTGTCTGCTTGTTTATTTATTTATTATAATTTATTAAATTTTTTTTTGGGGGGGGGGGGGGGGGGGGGGGGGGGGGGGGGGGGGGGGGGGTAAGAAATTGAAGCTTTTTTTAATTTTACGGTTGTATGTATTCTTAAAAATATTGATTGCTGTTATAGGTTTTTTTTTTTTTAATAAAAAGTCTTATATTGAGTTTTGTTTGAAGAAATCAGGGCTTTTGTGTTTTTCAGAAGAAATCATGTATATGTTATGTAGCTTTTCTTACTTTATTTTTTTTTTTTTCAAGAATAAATTATGACTAATATAGTTTTACAGTAACAGTAGAGGCAGAACCTGAACCTTCATTAGATGAAATTTCATGGGCAATAAGGAGCCTGAAAAATGGTAAATCACCTGGATGTGATGAGATACCAGCTGAATTGATTAAAGCGGGAGGAGAAGAAAGCATAAAAATCTATCATGCATTATGTGAAAAGATATGGAAATATGGTATTTGGCCAAAAGACTGGAAGAGAACTATCTTCATTCCAATACCAAAAAAGGGTGACCTGAAATTATGTACAAACTATCGAACTATTGCCCTGATCAGTCATGCAAGTAAAATTCTACTAAAAATTATAATGAGAAGACTGCAAAAGAAAATGGAAGAAGAGATTAATGTAGCTCAGGCTGGATTTAGACAGGGAAGAGGAACAAGAGATCATATATTCAACATGCGTTTAATAATAGAGAAGTGTAGAGAATTTAATGTAAATCTGTTCTTATGTTTTGTGGATTATTCAAAAGCATTTGACTGTGTACAACATCAGAAGCTTTGGGAAATCATGAGGAATATGGGCTTTCCATCACATATAGTGCAGCTCATTAAAATGCTCTATCAAGACCAACAAGCAGCAGTCAGAATAGATGGAGAGACATCAGACTGGTTTGGCATCAAGCAAGGAGTCCGTCAGGGATGTGTGTTGTCACCGTATTTGTTCAACCTGTACGCCGAAAATATAATGAGAAATGTAAGAGATGATATAAACAAGGAACAATATGATGCCCTAAACATCGGTGGTCATGAAATACCAGAAATTCGTTATGCTGATGATACAGTATTACTATCAACATCACAAAATGGTTTAGAAAACTTATTAACCTCACTCCAAAGAAATAGTGAAAATCA